GGAGCATTAAAAGAAAATATGTGAACTACGATTGAATGTTCAACTTCGAATCGCCCGCAGGAGCTCAGTAGATCGAATTCAGTGGAGCGTTGCAGCACAAATATGTACTTAGACATCGCAATTTAGATATCTTAATGATTACGCATCTCAGTGACTATGCATTCACTTGTAAATAAACTGATAGCGGAAGATAGCGGAATATAGCGGAAGTTGCCCGCTATCGAACAGCGATAGCGCCGTTCTCGCTATCGCTATTCCGCTATTCACTCGAACTTCCGATATCGCTATTCCGCTATTCGCTATTAGCGGACTAGCGGAATAGCGCGCTATTGCCCAACACTGTCGAAATCGCATAAATTCAGAACGTTCTAAAACAACCATACACTAATGTTTCCGAAGAACGCATTGATATGATGTTCACAAAGGATGAAGTCAGATACAAATAATATGAGTACAATCCATTTCTTTGAATTATGGCGCATAAATCGTCAGAATATATCATCAGAATATTTTATCGGGATACATTTCATCTTCAAATTTATCCATTCATGTGGATATCTGAATTCTCTAATCTTTTCTTCTGACAATGAATATGCCCAAAATAATTTCATCAAAGATATGCATAAACTCATTTGAAAATATGTGCAAATTTATTTTAAAACTGTTTACTACAAAGATTGTGCTGTACATATCACGTTACTGGTCTACTGAAACGAGGAATCGAATTCGTTGAGTGCAAATTTATATCCGCTTGAGTCAGCTGCCATTGTTACATGCTTTCCTCGTTAAGACTGTTGTTGTGTTTATGCCTTCTTCTAACAGTTTGAAATTTTTTTGAGTTTCGCAGTTTCATCGTAACATTTTATAAATCTTCCTCGTTTTTCCATAAATGTTATTCGAATGAACTGGTCCAGTGTTTAGTTCTAGAAGAAACTTTGCATTTACGAGAGTTACTCAAATTTAGCTATTAATAATATGATATCTATATTAGCTATCCTTATTGCTTCATTACCTTATTGCTTCATTAGTTTTCTGCATCAGCCGTATGAATCCACGAGAGTACAAACGCAAACAATGACATATATAAACTCAGAAATACAAATTTATTGTCGAATGGATGGATATAAAATGACTTAACGGAAGGCTCCATCGCATTTATTTTCCATGAACTGCAAATGGCGTTATTTCTAACGATTGCTTACTTGGTTTTTTATTTATCCAAAGTGCGAGGATCGCCGTAGAAATGGTTGGCATGTTGATTTGAAGATGTATAGAAAAGAGCCGATATCTTTAGTATGCCTTTCGATCGGTGCATGATTAATGCTGAAGTGAGCTTGATTGTGAGGTGCACTCTTATTTGCCATATGGCTCGGCTCAGTCATGTTTCATCGCAAAAAACCTTTCATTTTCACGTTTTTAGTCAATTTCTGACTCCTCTTATTACTCATTCATAATCTCTGACATATGCATATCATTCAGTTGTTTTCATCTTTCTTATATGATCTGTTACTGTTAGATGTGATGGTATTCGAACGAAATATCCGTTCGACCGAATCGGTTTTCCAGCATTTCGAATTGACATTTTGGGATTTCGAAATTCGACATTTTAAATACACATTTTGAGATTTTGAAATTCTGTATCCTGAAATCAGCTTTCGATCGAATTTCAAACCTCTTCAGTTGGAATTCGACCGAAGAAATTGAGATCCCAAAATTTTGAGATTTGAGATCCGAAAATATTCCGAAAAAACGACATTCACATTTTGAGATTCCAAAACTCGGTATTCTGACTGAACTTTTATCAGTTACCATTACTATTATAATAAAATTTGTTTGTGGGTTTTATTGTGTTGTTTTGAATGTATTATTTGCTCGTCTTTCAGTTGTTATTGTGTTATGACCTCAACACATTTATTTATATCTGTTTCACATTACTCGTTCGGAATCACTGTTACTTTCGTTGTAGGCGTAAAGTAAGTTTTGCAATGATGCGTTCGTTTTTAGGACAAACGATTTCCTGCAGTTCTTAACGCTGAATGTTTAAAGCTGTCGAAAACGCATAACTTTGCAATTTTAATGTTTGTTTCACACTGTATTTTCATAAGTGCTTGAGGCGTACGGAAGTGAATGTGAGGCAGTATTTCAGTATATCACCTCAAAAAGCGCTACAGCATAATTCAAAGCGATATGCAATATCGAACGAGAATAAAGACTTTTTTCGTATTTCATAGCATGCCAGAAAGCACTTCACAAAATTAATGCCCTAATCCTTTCTTTCGAGAACTTTTTTCACTTTTGTCGTTTGTGGTTTCGAATGCTTCCAGATGCATGCTAACAGCTGTCGTCATAATCTTCTCATTATAGTCTGTTGATTCTCAATATGGAATTATATATTCAAGAACTCGTCACTGGCTCATGTCTCAGTGTGAACACAAATATCACATTCTTCATTCCTTGGCATCCTTCTCTTTCCACATCACTGCTAATATTAGCGTAGGAAAACATCTGTCCTCGATAGAATCCAATCGCAACTATTGATTTATTGATTGCGAATATGCAGATATTACTTTGTCAGTGATTTCTAGTGAGAGCAAAAATATTTCTGATGAATATTTCATCGTATTCAGCACTGATCGAAAGGGATCTAAAACTAGCCAAATGTATGCAAGATTGTGGGTTTGCTTTGCGCTCAGGAAGGAAAGTCTGTCACATGTGAACGATATATTGTTCAGAAACATTTCCAAATGAATTATCCCTGTGAGGATCAGTTGTCAAACGTTTCGAATGATATTGCCCACAATAAGAACATTAAGAATGCGGTGGCGCTTTTGGATCATAATTTGAGAAGCACTCTTGCAAAATGCATTCAAGAAAAGATTTTAGTGAGATTTGTGTTTCCGTTGTTGGTTTAAAATGTTTTTCGCAGACGTTTTCAAATGAAAATGTTCCGTCCAAAAATATTCATTCAAAACGCAAAAACTATCGGGCGATTATCGCCATTAATTATAACGTCCGTTGTTCGGACTTCACTATAAATCTTTCAATCTCCCATAAGTAATGTGATTGACCTTGAGATTGAATGTTCTTTTTTGTTGAATTGTTTTGAATTTTCTTTGTGCTGCTGAGAAATTTGATGATTTCATTTGATTGCATTTCAATTGAACTCTTTCTGTTCACATTCGATAAGGGTAATTTGTACTCAAAACTAACACAATATAGCTGATTTTTTTTGATCGGTTTTATTGTTTGCTCGTTTTTTTGATTTCATTTTTCGATCAGACGTTTTTGCCGTTCTGTTGATTGCATGTTTGTTGTCTCGGAGATAACTTTTTCCGATTCCAATTATTTATCTGTTAATTTTCTTTCAGTTGTTGGGTATGACCAACTGCTACTGTATCGAAATGTCATCAATCTCTGTCGTAATCCATCCGATGTTTTCTTTAGCACGAATTCTTGATGTGTGTTCAATTCTGAGGCGTAAATCCTTGTTTTTGTTCGTATCGTGTTTTATTGTGCTTCTGCGCTCTTATCGATGAGTTTTGATAGACCAAGTTTTGATATTGTTATTATCGCATGTCAATCACAACCATAGAACAGTTCGTTTAAATGCAGTTTTTTTTTTGATTGATTACTGCACAGTTAATACTGTTTCAAACAGCTACTGAACGATAGTCATTCACTCATTCACTTCCTAAACAATCCTGCTTTATATCCATCCACCTAAAGTAATCAAATCACGGTTATCAAACGTCTTCAGTGAACATTTTTTGAATCATGAATGCCCACATACGTCTCGTCTGCACCATATCCCCACTCCTGATTTTATTGACTTTAATCCCTCAAATATGATTTCTGAGAGTCTTGAATTTTTTTGATTCAAAGGCTATTTCGGTTCTGTATATTCTAAGATTTCAAGGGATTACCGTCGACTTTACAATCGGTGCATTAATACAGTCTCAATTATTTGTCCTTGCACAATTGACAATATACTGATTCAATTATCATCCGTCACAGCAAGTTATACCTTATAATATATCCAACTTCATGAATTTATGTATCTCTTTTTATTACTTCTTCCTTCTCAAGTCAAATGAATGCGCACTCCAGTCTCATTTGTCAAACTGCTTCTTTCAACTATAAATAGTATAGTTGAAAAACAATAGCTCCACGCTTCAATAATTCAAAAACTTTTTCCTAATAAGAAGGTTAAAATGTATGTGCATGTGTAAGCACTGACGCGATTTTCATGTCATTCTCATTCATAGACTCGATCATTTTTTGGTTTATCATTTTTCAGTTCTCATTGTAAAGCACTTGTCCGCTAGGCTTCAACACAGCTGCATCGTGTATTTCGAAATTGTTCACTATGCGAGTGAAATGTCCATCTGTTGTTGAATTCATTTTTTTTTNTTTTTTTTTGAGTGAGACCATTCTGAAGTCGTCTACACCAGACGTCTTTAAATGAGCTCATTTTTCAAGGATGCGTCGCATTGTCATTTATGTTCTCTGTATATGTTTGTCGTCGTATAACCTTGTGAATTCCTGGATCGTTCAGATGCCCATTGCAACAGTTTTATGCTTGTTTTGTTCAGAATTTTATTTGCTCACATTTAGTTAAATCCATTATGTGCCTGTGTCCTTTATTTCCGAGATATTCTCTGAATTTTGATGATTATTTATTTCAAAATTCCATTCAGTTTCATAATCTTAAAAAATGTTTCTGCGATGAACTACTCCACCTCTCATCGGCGCATGGCCTTACTATTAGTCATCATTGCGAGCACACTATCAAGTACTTCATCATAGCAGTGGAGTACTTCAATTTGTAATTGATTTCTGACTCACTACTATTATCAGCTGTTTAATCATAAAAGCTATCCTGTTTCACTCAGTTTTTTCTTGAGTTAATCGAGGCACATACACTCGTCGAGTCTATGTTCTAGTGATGAAGACCGACCGAAGCTCGGAAAATTTTCAGAATTTTCGGTGAATACTGAACTTCGGTAATTTCCGAATTATTCGGTCGGATCGAGTGGGCTCTGTGGTCGTCAAATTTTGAACTGATTATATAACAGCTGATGTTGCATTCAGTAAACGTTTTTCTCAAATACCTAATAGAAAACGTATTCCTTATTTAACTTAAAAGCCAATTATTTTTCAAGCACTTGCGCTTTTTTGGCTCTGACGCAGACTCATATGAAAATTTACGTATGTATGTGTCTTTTCCTAAGGAACACCCACTTCCAGAGTCATTATAAATGTTATGCACATGAAATTAATTTCTCACTGTCGCTTGGCTTTGCTATTAGTCACCATAGCGATGGAGAACTTTAATCTGTAGTTGATTGCATTCACCAACAGCTTTTATTGATACTTTTCTTGTTTTCGATAGATGCCTTGAACACTGCATATATCAATGAGAATATCCTTATTCTTTTAAGAAATTCACAGCAATATCAGGAGAGTCAGGTTTTACATAAGAAATATGCTTACAATTAATATTTCATCTAAAGCAAGTACATCTAAAGTAAGTGCATCTGAAGATATCTAAAGTAAGTACATCTAAAGCAATATGATCTCATGTCAGTGTCTGCGTAGGCCATTCGATCATAAGCCGGATGCAATTTCTCGATGCATACTTTCGATTTGGTCACCGCTCGACTGATATCTTATCTGACCAAAATGTATCTCATATCGAGGCTCTCTTATCTCATTCCTAAAGTGCTTCATTACGATAATCACTCATTTGCTCATTATTCGTTCTAAGTATTGCTTTTTTCATGTTCAGTAATTTCATTATCTTCATTATCTGTTTACGTCTGTTGCAATTCAAGTCTGTCGCCTGGTAACTTCATTATCTGTTTAAAGCTGTTGCAATTGGATCTTATTTGTTCCTTCAACGCACAGAATGTACGAATTTTTCTTGGATTTTGCACTTGGAATCTTGAATTGGATCTTTTAATCTTCAGTGAATTGCACTCCGCATCTCGGAAGGAATTCTCGAATATTTCCTTCTTCAGTAGAGAAAATGCTCAAATAACATTTTTTCCTCAAATAATATTCGTTATATAACGATGAAGTGATTTATACGAGCAACTAAAAGCCCCTAGGAATAAATGTAATTTTATTCCAAAACCAGTGAGTATCTGAACGTTTTGAACTCTTCAATTTCGTTCAAATATTCAAATTCGTCATTCAGCTCAATTTGCTCTCCAATGACCGCGAGAAAATTCGAGATTTTCGCGATTCAAACGAGCTGTATTCATTTCACGAAAAGTTTTTCCCTCTTGTTACCATCGTTATCGACCAGTTCATCTCGACCAAATAAATTCAAATGTGAATGAATCAAATTTTCGCAATCAAACAATTTTTCTCCACATCAAAGCATTTTATTGATTTTCGTATACTCACCCAGTCAACTTTCACTCACAACAAAACACGAAAGTAATGCACAAAGCCTAACAGAACGAGAGTTATCGTCTCTTCAGGCAGTCGCACCATCGCAGTTGTCTTGGTTCGTTATGGTCAAATGACTTTAACGATGGATTTGATTCGTTCAACTGAGAAAAACTCAAATTACATATTCATTCAACTGCACTCATTTGCATGAAAAGCTTTTAGGATGGAACGCGAGAATGAGGCTCTCGGAAATAATTTTTATCTGCATATAAAAAGTCAGAAAATGGATTTGTTGTCCATTTCATTCTGCTAATCGTCTGTGAGTGATAAAATTGAATGTGGCACTTTACAATGGCCAATATCATTGACAATGATGAACAAAATGTTGAAGCAACTAGCAAATCTACTGCTCAATGTTATACGATAAAAAGTTTTGAACGAATAATGGACTGATAAAATGAACAGTGATAACGACTGTGATAGCAGATATCTTACTGATAAGCTGCTGTTGAAATCACTTTTAAAATCTAACCTCGCTATTTACGGAAAAGAAGAATTTTCAAATTAGCTGAATAAAGTGCGTGGTTACAGTAATCATAAGAAGGCATATATATGTTCATAATAAGCTTCATTTGACAATTAATGAATACCTCTGAATGAGGATTTTATTTGATGATGAAAAATCTCACGACTCAGAAATGTGAGTGGGACACAAAGAATGATCATATTTCCATCTTCGCAGTCTTGGCAATGAGTATTTCCCAAAAATGATCGCAATGAAAATGAATTCATTACGCATGAATTCCGTGAATATTTCACATTCTTTTTCGGTTTTCCCAATTTTCCATGACGCACGTCTCGGTTCATTATGGCTGCATATATAACTGATAGAATTATATTCGCATTGCACAACTGCTCCGTCCTATAATCTATTCAATGTAATTTCATTGAATCTTATCCATTTCACCTCATACGTTCACATATCTGTTCATAATGTTGATGTTTTCCATGAATATTGCTATTTTTTCAGTTGATTATGATCCCTTTCATTGAGCATGAATATTGCATATAATTACTATCGTTGTTATAATCATAGCAGTTTGATGCAAAATTGACGAAGACCTCTCAAAATGTCAGTCTAAATCTGTTGTGACTTCATCGAGTCTCGCTGATTTTAAGCACGATAAAGTCGGCTATTATTAAAAATTCCTTTTCAACAGGACTGGGTTTTTTCATTAACCAATCACACGAAAGTTACTGCCTTTCGAATGTTCGAACTTGCAAATATGTATTATCAGTATTGTTGTGTTTGAGGTATTGAGGACTGAGATCAGCGTTTTCAAAGAATCTGTATCCTACGTTTGCAGGCGATTCATTTATACATTGAATGGATATCATCTGACAACCTCTTACTCGTGCTATTATTGTGTGTCGTCAAGTAACTTGTAATATCATATACCGATCTGTTTCATTATCATTGTTGTCAATATCGATGTCAGTGTTGCGAGTGTCCTCGTAATATATGTTATTTGTGTTATAATTATTGTGATTATCACATTCGTTGTTATAATCAACAATTTCAGTCAAAGAAGACAAGCAAACAATTGAAAATAAAAGATGCCCAGAGGAACGCAATTGGAATATTTAAGTGCGCTGAAACTTAAGGATACAACTCATGTGTTCCGTAAAACGGGCATTATTTGCACTGTTGGTTGGTTTATCTTGTTTCGATATGGTCCTTATTGATATTATTAACATTAACATTTATTGACTATTATTGTTCATAATTATCAAACGTTTTCAATGGACCATGAACGAGTTCCAGGGCCGGCATGTAGGAGTGTGGACATGTTACGAACGATGATCACAAATGGATTGGGTATTGCGAGATTGAATTTTAGTCACGGAACTCATGAGGTTCTCTGCCATTATATCGCCATATGTATTCACAATTGTAATCGTCTCTTCATATAATTATTATTCATAAATTATTTAGACGATTTTCAAAGAAATGAGACAAACAAATTAATACAATGTTATTCAGTATCATGCAGAAACAATTGCGAATATACGTGAAGCGGTTAGTTCGCTGACAGATTCACGTATTGTTGCAATCGCTTTGGACACTAAAGGTCCTGAAATCAGAACTGGTATTCTGGCAGAGGCTTGTTTTTAATTGTTATTGTTGATAATATCGCTAACATATTGAGATGTTGTATTTGTTGATTTCATCATTATCACTTCATCAGTTTGAATAATCTACATTGATAATGAATTAAAGTTGTTACCATAATGAAAGACCGCAAATAATATTAGCAATGATATTGATAGCTGTAACATTACTGTTTGATAAGGATAATAATATCATTGAAATGTAATTAAACTTAAAGGGTGTGCAAGCTGAAGTAGAGTTGAAAAAAGGTTCATCAGTAATCATAACAACTGATCCAAAATTTCAAAACTCATGTACATCAGTGAATATTTTCGTTGATTACGTGAATATCGTAAAAGTTTTGAAAGAAGGCTCGAGAATTTTCATCGATGACGGTCTTATCTCGTTGTTGGTCAATGAAATTGGTGAGTTTCATCAGGTTTATAGCCAACCATCAGGGCAGGGAGGTGCAGATGGAACTCAGTCGACCCGAACAACACAGTAGTATCTGAAAAACTTACATAAAGCTAGGAATAAACAGGAATTGAGCCATGCAATTAGTTCCTCTGAGTGCTTAGTTCGACCTTTCAACTCCCTTAAGGTTTATCATAGAGTTGCAAATGACTGAAGTTCGAAAATTGCACAAAAAGGTAATTTTTGGTTTTCATCTCATGACCCTCAACATTGATGAAACGGTCCCTTGATCGAGTATTGCTCGATTGAGCGTGGTGAATGATCGACATGCTGGTTTATTCCAGATCAAATCATGTTCTCTTCACCCTGATTACTCACACACCATGAGGGCTTTTATGAGAATGAATAACAATATGTAATGACTTCTAAAATGGTTTTAGGTAAGAATTCATTGACATGTACCGTTGAAAATGGTGGCATGCTGGGTAGTCGGAAAGGTGTGAACTTGCCTGGAACACGAGTGGATCTGCCGGCAGTTACCGAGAAAGATATTGACGACCTGAAATTTGGCATTGAACAAGTGCGTGTTCACGACTGATAGGACAGTTCATATGTGGTGTTTATCGATGTATAATCGTTTTACTTCAGCACAGCAGTTCTATGTAATGCAAGTTGTTATTTCAGGGTATTGATATAGTGTTCGCGTCATTCGCACGTAGCGGTGAGGGAATCCGTCAGATACGTCGTGCACTCGGTGAAACGGGAAAACATATCAAAGTTATCGCCAAAATTGAGAATCAACAAGGAGTTGAGAAGTAATTAAATTCATTTTTTTACTCTGCATTCATCACAAATGCTGTTGGAAACCGCAAGATTTTTTGTGGCGCCCCCCGCCAGGCAAATTTTGAGCATCGGTCAACTTTTGATCGATGGTAATCAAAGTTCAGTTTGTGGAGGTTCCCGATTGGACAAGCCCTTGCGGTTGCGGTCGGAGGCCCTTAATCCAACTCTGATCATAAACCAACTCCTCTATGAAGTATTCGTTCTACCCGTGCGTAACATCTTTTACTCAGGATCACTATTCGAGCAATCTAAGCCTCTATAATGTTCAGTGATATATAAGTGATTATAGTAAATGTATAGCATTAATAAATGAATGGATACTAATAAAAGATCGAAAATTTCAGTGCTGAAGATATAATTGCCGAATCGGATGGTGTAATGGTAGCGCGTGGTGATCTCGGTATAGAAATACCAGCTGAGAAGGTGTTTCTTGTGCAAAAGATGTTGATCGCAAAATGTAATCGATACGGTAAACCGGTTATATGTGCCACCCAGATGCTCGAGTCAATGATACATAAGCCAAGACCCACACGTGCTGAAGGTGCTTCTCATTGTGATTGTTTTCGTTATGATCAGAAATATCATTGTCGTGAATGATAAATGAAAATTGAGGAAGTGACGTCGCGAATGCGGTGTTGGATGGTGTCGATTGCGTGATGTTAAGTGGTGAAACGGCGAAGGGTGATTATCCAGTCGAGGCACTCGCTACAATGGATCATGTACGATTGATTGTTTATACCGTTATCACTTTCATTATTCTCATTGAATAAGAAAACTTTTCTCCCAAAAATTCCATTTAAGATCTGTCGAGAGGCCGAATCGACCGTTTATTACGCGAGATATTTCGAAGAGTTGTTGAAAGTCACCAAGCTACCAACTGATGAAGCACATACGATTGCGATCGCTGCTGTTTCCGCTGCAGAATCTTGTGAAGCAAAAGGAATCATTTGCTTGACCCACAGTGGGAGGTTAATTTTTGTTATAATATTCATTACTATTTTTATTATTATGATTGTTATCGCTGTGTTATCATTATTATCATTTTCACGATCATTATTGTCATTACCACTTTGAAGAATGAAACTTATAGATCTGCGAGTCTAATCTCAAGATACAGACCTCCAGTACCAATACTCGCTATTTGTACAGATCATGCAATCGCTCGGCAACTGCACCTGTGGCGTGGTGTACTTCCATTGTATCATGGAGGTTCGTTTGTCACTATTGTTATTGCTATCATTATTATCATTTATGTTGCTTATTTGTAGGTGTGAACAACGTCGACTGGCAAACGGATATCGAAAATCGTGTACTACACGGAATAACTTGCGGTAAAAGAAGACGAGTCTTTAATACTGGAGACTTGCTGATTGTTATCACTGGTACTTCGAAGGGAAAATGGAAAGGTGATTATTATCTTCAGCATTATCAGTGATGCTATCTTCATTATCATTATCAGTGCTGATAGCGTTATGCTCGTTGATAATTGTCATGTTGCTCTAAGATCTCCTCGGTATCTCATATTGGGTGCCTCATTTAAGTTCTTAACTGTAAAAATTTTACTATCAGTTCGAAATCGCTCGTCACACATCCCTACTAAAAGTCTAAAATTCATCTAGAACATTTCCATCGCATCATTTACTTATTGTTACCCGAATTCTACTACTGGTACGTGTTTTGCATTCAGCTGAACCATTCACAAATCTTTGATAACTAAATACAACAATTAATTGCTATGGAATGGCAAGTTTTGGCGATGATTGTTTCGGGAAAAGAATTTGCCCCCATTGAAGCCTCGTAAGGCTCATTCCACTCTTTTTGCTTCCCCTTTGTGTTTCGCAAAAATGCTTTACATATTCGTGATCAGCTCGACGATATCTACAACATGATATATATTTCATCCTGAAACGTGGGGGTAAGTTCGTGACCTTCCCTTGTTAGGCACGCAGGGATTCATCCGAAACATTCGGTCGTGACATAGCGAAGCAGCGACGACAACACTTCGCGTACTCTGTTCAGTATGCTGAATGAATTAAGACGTGTTTCAGGTTCGGCACACATAAACACGTTGCGCATAATCACTGTACCATAAAGATGAATCACCATATTTTGAACGTTAAATAATACTTTTATTCAATACGTTTTCATCTCGTATATTTGTCGTTCGACTGCGTCAATCAAAGTCGAATATCCACTTCTAACATAATCTCATCTAACACTACTCTAACCAGTATTATCAATGTATCATATTAACTCTGTCTTTAATCATTACTGCTGTCTTCATTGATAATCCTATAATATCACTGTCGTATCTGTTGTGGATCTCATCTTTCACTGCATAATATTAAATAATAGTAATGATGATTTTATTACGAGGTATGGCATATGATCATAACGTATAGATTATTTTTTCCTCCTAACTGATCAACTGATTTATGTGATCGCTAATGTTTATTACTTACAAATTAATAAAATTGTGTGATTAATAATAACGTTTAACAATAATTCTGTAATTTTATAGAAGTTAAGTGTTGTTTATTAAATTTATTCATCAGTAAGACCGTTTGCATTATTATTCTGATAAGATATTTATTTTCAGTTCTTGTACATATTTAAATTTTCTCATTCTGTGGATGTGTGACTTTATTGGTGTTCTTTCATTGAATTTCAACTAGACCTGTGTTGTGTTAAACCCGAGTGACGATATTTTCTCTTTTCTTAATTTGCTTTAAAACTAGAATATATCTATCCCATTGTTAGTTCTTTCTGAGAAAGTTGTTAGTATCTAAATGAATAAATAAGTAATTCTTTATCGTGCTATTCAAATTTGTTTATATCTGTTGATCATGGCGACAGAACGCAGCATTAATATAAAGTACATTCAAAACGTAGATATGGTTATAATTTATTTGCAATGTCATCATTAAACAACTAATATTCAGCTTGTTATTAGGCTATTATTAAAACGGATTTTGTATTGATATGTGCTATAAATACAGCAACTAATTAATATCAAGTTTATTTGATGTACAATTAATCGAATGTACTTTTGCAACAATTATGAATAATATTACGAGAGATGAAATATCTGCAGTGTTATTATTATGACAATTATAAAGCTACTTTATTAGCAGTGATTAAAATTACTGCTAATAACATGGCTTTATAGTTGTCATAATAAGATTCATAATCTTTAATATGATATTTGTAGAGTACATCGGAATGAATGCTATTGAAAAACAAGATGAGAACAGTTCGAGGTAAATTATACTCTGATACTTAAGGGGAAAGATATAATAATTAATGATGGATGGTTGGTATTCTTCATATTCATGTATTGAATTTGAATAAATGCGCATAAAAACTTCTGATATCATCATAATAGATAATTTAAGTTGTTTTAAATCAACATAATTTGCAATGTAATTAAAAATAGTTTAAGAGATTCCATGATTTTTGGAAATACGCAACTTCGATTGAGGAAAGTGAGATGATTGAGAGAAATTGTTTCATAAAATTGATCGCTTTTAGTGATCTAAATACTAGACAAAAAATTTATTTTTGAAGCTTCATACCATGAAAAATATTTAGTGTTTGAATTCCTAAAAATTTTTTAAAGGATGCACTTAAGATTAACAATCGTAGAATTCAATTTCGTCTAATCAATGTGATGTAACGTTGGTATGCACGGATGGCCGAGTGGTCTAAGGCGCCAGACTTAAGTTCTGGTATCGTAATCGATGCGTGGGTTCGAACCCCACTCCGTGCAATACGTTTTGCTTCGCGCTCGTTATATTGTTCTTTATATGTCCAACCTCTATTCGATGCAAACGTTACCTTTCTCACTCATTTTGACTTGTAATGAAAGAGAATTTGTATTGATATGTGCTATAAATACAACAACAAATTAATAAAGAATTTATTTCATGTACATACCAATCCATATACTTTCACAGCAATATTACAAGTAATCAAATATCTCTGCATAATCATCAATGAATGTGCAATAAATGAAGCTGAATTTGAATATGAGTTCATTCACAGGAATTTTATTTCACTCATCTGGCGAAATCATATCACGTGTACTTGATATAATGTTAGCTCTTAAGAGAAATCTTTTAAAAAGCTGTATTCATGGCCTCAAAAGAAGAGCAAACAATAGAAACGCAAAACAGCTCAATCTGACCAAAGAGTCTCTCTCAACGAAGTGCGAACTCAGATCGAGGCACAGAAATGGGCCGCAGAGGCCCAGTACTTCCATGAAGCTGGACTGCGCGAGAAGTACAATGAATATCTGGTACCCCAGGACCATATTAAAAGCTGAACTGATAAAGAAATGAGAGACAAATGAGGAGTTTCATGACTGTTACGAGCTTTTGATTTTAAATTTATGAAAACGTGATAGTGTCAAAATTTTCATTGCACATGCAGCATTGGACGATTCATATTGCACACATGGAATAATATAGGTACAATGTGCAGATCAGAGCAAATATTTCAATAAATAATTCCAAATTTCAAAACGCAAAACAATGATAGCTATGGTTTCATCCTACATCACAAACTGAATTGTTACCAATCATGACAGTACAAATTGTAAACCTACTATAAATTTCATCAATCTTCTAACATCTGAATGTTCATTAGTAAAGTTTCTATCAAACACAATTTCAAGACAAAAAAGTCATTTGCGACCGAGAACAACACTCAAAACAATGATGATAACAATGATGAGGACTGTGACGAGAATACACAAAAATGTACAATAGATCTTTTTACTGATCACACTCTTCTTATGTTCCAATGCTTTATGTGCTTCTTTTCGTCCTGCTTCGACGATATAAACTGTATCTTCAACGTTTTTATCGATGCGATCTATTGATTCGCCCTTAAAATTGAACATTCGAATTCACTATTGAAATCGAGTAAACTAACTAACTAATATTATGCTGAGTCTTAAAATATTGAATTTAAACGTAAAATTAAAATTTCGATCAAAATTTGAGCCCACTCAGCCGTAATCAACACCTTATAAAGCATTATAAAGGATTATTGCGTTTCTAGGGAGGCTTGCGCTGGTAAATTCATGTTGTGTCATAGGCATGATCACCTTCGACCGATCCGAGGACCGAATGGCATCATATTGTTTACCGGAGATGAGTGAATACTCTTGGAGACGTCGAAACCAATGCTTTTAATGACTTACTTACACAAAACCAATAAAAGTTGTGAATGCACAAGTAATAATTCACAAATTTGCATTTGAAAGCAAAATTTTTGAACTTCCAAAATGTTGCAATTGAACAAATAATACCTGATTTTGTATCATGAATGCAATGTCATTGTACATATCATTCAAATCTTTAATATTGCTTTCAATTCGCATAATCTCATTATGACGTGACTCAACATCGTTTAATACAGATCGCATTATAGCTGTTGTAGCCGTTCTGAAAATTGCATTCATTCAAAATATTATGTGAACATTACTTTTGGAATATGAATTTTGAAACATTTATATCAATAATGTGATAATTATCACTTCGATTTATATTGTCACAGATAAGTGATACCTGTGGAATATCTGCATTGATTTAGAATCGATCATTTCTTCCACTTCCGCATCAGTCCAATTCTCGCCCGCTAAGTCAAGTTGCCTCTTTAATCTACCTGAAATATGCGACTTTCGTAAAGAGTTAGGGAATAACTCGTTTCTGTAACATTGTTATTCACCAGTATCGTTAATTCACTAACAAACAAGAGGAATTAGATCCAATAATCTTCCGTTCTGCTCCCAATTTCGGAGAAATGAGTTTGACTACAATATGAAAGAGGTACACAGCATAAAAACGAAAATAAGTAAATAACTATATGCCGTACAGTAAATATCTGTGTCCTATACAACCAAAAGAACTAAATACCAAATCATTTCTAAATGTGTTTTCGTCGATTAGAGGAGTTTTCAGTGGGAAAAACCAAAAGCAGAAGGAGGATCTTGAATCACTGATAATGCTTATTATCTGATAAGTTTGCAGAACTACAAATCTCAGACTAAAACACGAAATGGATGAATGCTAACGAAATATTTCAGAACCAACCCGCAATCCGACGTCTGTAATCATTTTGTGCTTCATTGAATAATTGTAACGCATCGGAAAATTTCTTCATCAGTGCTTCGATGTGATATTTTCTAATGCGACTGTTCACGTTCGAATTTGAAGCTGATTTTGAACTGCTTTCATAGTCTTGTTTCATTTTGATCAATTTCGGCCTCAGTAATGCCGAACGATGCTGTATCGCTCGTATACTCTCATTCAGAATCTCCTTAAATTGCGATATCATTCGATAGAACCGATTTTCCAAAAGTAGCAATTTGTGAGTTATGTGAAACTGAAGCGATTTCATAAGAGCGATGAGATTCGAAAAAATCGATCGTTGTCGGCTTCATTGTTGATCCAATCTCATGAATTTAAATATTATAGCCGGTAATCAAGCGAAAATTTCGAAAAAGATTTCGTTGCTGTTGTGATTGCATAAGTTTTGGCGTTATCACTATCAGTTCTTTACTTGTTGGGTCATTATGACTGTGAGTCGTTATCATTACTATTATCAGTAGTGATACCTTATCACTGGTGTCAATGATTGGCTTCGATAGCATGGATGATTGTTGCTGCCTCAATTTCATGATGTCATCCACCAAATTCTCAATTAATCGCCTGATTTCGTCGATTTCATTGAAGAAGTCATTTTTCAAGTCACTACTTCCGGATGACGGTCCACCTTCCAAAACATCCAGTCCATCGAAAACGTTCTCTTGAGCTTTTCGCTTGAATTTACATTCATCATTCACACTAACATAATTTCTTCAGTAACATTTGAAAGCAAAACTTTTGAACTTCCAAAATTCTGCGAGTGAACAAATAATACCGGATTGTGCATCATGAACGTATTGTGTTGTGATCTTATCATTTTGTTACTGCCTCATCCATTAATCAGTGATATTATCACTGCGTTACATTCAAACACATCAGTAAAGCACATCAAATTTCATTTCGTCATAAATACAAGAATCAATATTCTTCACCTATGTACAACCGTTGTATATGCAATTTTCTTGTAACGATGACAGAATTTGTCAATTTGCTAAAGTTATCGAATCTTAGCCACATAGTGATATTTAGCTTTTATCTGATTACAATTACGGGAATGTGATTGTAGTAGTAACTGTACGTCATATTACACACGATATAGAACAGTATTCAATGCTTTTTTCAATTACTTAACTCATAACTGCGGCTAATATAGCTCTAGAGCTTATCGTTCTTTTAGAAATATATGAATATCGTGACTCTTAGTGACACAAGCCAACTTATTGTGGTTTCAGAATATATCTATAATTGGAACACTTACCCGGAATTCACTAGATCGATCTCGGATCATGATTTATCTGAAATTCGAAGACATCAGCTAGAAATCAAACGAACAAATCCATGATCAAATCTCCGAAACAATAACATCAAATCATCGTCATTTCAAAACGCAATCAAACTCCAATCAGTGATATATTCAAAACGAAATATATCAGAAAAAAATCTCCAGGAACTTTTGCTGATAATGGGCGCCGTGTTTAGATTACCGCTTTGCCCCATGTGTAGATATGCAATTCGAAATCAAATCACGAGCATTATGCTTAAGCTTAGACTTACGCTTAGCCCAGTGATGAGGCTAACGCACAGGCTTCAACTTATGTATAAAGCGTATGAGCACACGAGCATCTGTGATAATAGGTGCGGTGGCACCCGTTATCAGCAAAATTACCAATCTCCCCATAAAAGGATCACAGCACATGATAATATAGCTATGTACATGTGAATGAGTAACATTCAAACAACAAAAATCACTCCGCTTACAATAATACAATACGTATTCATGCGTATGACTCATGAGCATGACTCACTGATATGAAGGTGACGATAACACAACAAATTCGTTCATATAACTATGTGTATGTACGCAGCAACCACTACTACCTACCTACCTGTCCTATATTATACATAGATATCAACGATTGAGACGTAAGATAATACAATGTAAATATCAAGAACATATTTGCCGCACATATATATTTGGTATAATCAATAGTTACTCTCTAATATCTAAGGTATACAGTGATAATATCTGGGGCATATGGTGATAAATCATGAGATATGTATAGATGAGATATCGTGAGGTTTATACAGTTATATATAATTGTGTAGTAGAAGCAGTAATTAGAGTAACTGTGTGATTTTATGTTGTCGTAAATTCAATGTAGTCAGTGAACGTTTCGACGAGTTAAACGTGTTGACTCTGAATTGAGCATCCGTTTGAACAGTGAGCATTCAGTTGTTTTATGTGAAGTCGTAGTGGTCCAGGAACGAGAGAATGATCGATTTCAATTGTAGATGTTTGTTTAGTGAAAAGAGTAAACATTTTCCAATGAAATATGAAAACAAGAAAGTATTGATCGATAAGGTAACATATCAATAGTGCTGTAGTCAGGGGAGGAGGCAAGGGCGCTCCCCCCTCCTCCCCCCCCCTCCTCAACTGGAAAAAATCCTGGTCATACCATTGCATATGAGAATATTTATTCAGTCTCATCGGATGATGATAATATTTTTTGATTATCAACAACATCTGAATGAACCCAAAATACCACCGATTATTTCATAATGGAAGAACTGGAATATATGATCTGATATTAATCAATAATCGTATGCTACATTGTGATCTGTTTGAATTGTTTCATTTAGTTCCAGAAAATTGGTTTCTTCACTATGTATTGTGCACTGCAATCGAACATTTACTAATTGCTTTTGGAAAAATCAATCTGAAAATTCCGAGAAGCGAGATTATGAATGAAATTATACGTGAATGAAGAACGACCCTGCAAACGCCATGAGAAATGTATCCGGTGTATTATCATATAATTATAATCTGATTTATTACTATTCATAATGGTAGCTATTATTTACTATTAACTTGTCATTTATTACCGTTACTACTAATTTCAGCTAATGACCTATTACTTCCCCAATTGATTCGATGACTTTCTCAGTTACATTTTGATATGTTCCATGTTCTTTCCAGATCAATGAATGTTGATTGTAAAGATATTTTCATTTGATTTTCTTTGTATTCACGTTGATGAAATCATAAATAATAGCTAAATGAATCGACAAATAACATATTTTATCGCATGGTCAATGTTCAGTCTTCATTGTCACCGTTCAAAAATACATTATATTCCGAATGTTTTACGCATGTTTTCGAGTAAAATAATCACAAATCGGGAGAGTAGCCATCGAATAGTCATTCAAATGCTTGCTGTCAACTAGTCACATGATTTTCATTGTTGGTTGAGAAAAATGTTTTGAGAGAATACAAAACAACGTGACAACTGAATGAATAATATGACTGCGGCGAGATTGACTTGTGTATTTCTATGAATTTGTGGTCATGAAGGAGATTCTAAAGCTATCCGAGCTGATCAGCATGTTCCACTGATCGGTATCAAAACTAACGAGTTGTCAAGTAATGATTTCTGATGTATCAATAATAAGAAAAACAAATATACACACCTTAAACATTTACGATCTGATAACAATCACAAATATTTCAGAATACATAAGATGTAATTGTATTCGAAGAAGACCAAATAACATGAACAATTGAATACATAGTGATAGTGTAGTTGTGATCATCTCACCCTGATAAGTATGAGAAGCATGAACTTCGTGTTTTTTAAACTTTTCAGTGCACTCTATATTTTATCGTGAAAAATACAGAGAAGTTCTCTTGTTGTCATGAACTGATGAATGATGCGATCGGTGGTTATCGCTGATTTAATGCGATGAAATAGGGCAAAAACACTGCAAGCATTTGCACTTCGTAAGGAATTTGATGCATTTTCAAAATCACCTTCAGATAGTCCAAAATTAGAAGTGGGTCAAGGATAAAATAGAACGAAGTCGAGCACGATATTGAAGATATTTTTTGTTTTTATCGCTTCGTTTTCTCACTCACCTATGTTTTCCTAAATGTGACAGCCATCATATATTGTTATTATTGTCATTAGCAATACTTTCGTTATAAGCCTCGTAAAACAGGGTTCACTCCAATTATCATCGAAAAGAAAGTCAGATTTCCAAATATTCAATCAACAACTACATCAGAGGTCCCCACAGGAGATGAATTACCCATTTTTAGGTAATCTGGGAATGTCAGGGGTAATGGAGGGGACCGGGAAATTAGTTCTGGCATTACGCGTGAAAATAATAAATTAATGGAGTGGAAGGGAGGAAGGAGGTAATGACTGCCTGACAGACCATCGAAGAAGGTAATGGAGCACTCGAACGTGGTAACCATTGAACTACACCTTCACAATATTACATGCGTTTTATATCATTAAAAATGCGAATATACGATGAATAACTGCATGAAGTGCATATTAATAATAACAAATATATTACATCAAAATTTAATATTGATTCTTGGTTATGCAGAGGACTACCAACGAAATGTATCCTTAATGGCAGAATTGAAGGCACCACAATCTCCGATGTTGCTATGGCAACGTTGCTGGATTGTAACTATTGTTGAGTGGTTTCATAAATATCCAAGTGATTATCTTTTATTGTTATGCATGAGCCTATTTATACCTTTATTGAGCTATACTCAATTCAAAAGTGCTTCCGAATGTGTATTTTTTACTACAAATTTGACTGAAATAAAATCCAGAAATATAGGGAAAAGCATTCGGCGTGGGGTTTTATACCAGAAGAAATATACTTAAAAATGGCTGATCATTATAATCGGCCTAATAAGGCTCTGGCTATCGTTATGATCTTCGTTGCTGTTGCTGTCAGTTTACAGTAGAGAGCAGAGTAGCGATCAAAACATCTAGATTCTAGAATGTCTTCAAGGTTATTCGAAAAATCCCTTGCGATTAAACGATTAATACACAATCTCAAATCTTTGTTGAAAAATTTTATCAACGAATTTTTAACGGAAACTTGAAAATTTCATTGTTTTCTTGTGTACTTTGCTGCAGCATAACTTCTCGTAACTGAAACTATGAAACTAGATTCCAATTTTTTGAACTTTTAAACATGCTCTAGTGATATGCTAACGTATGCAACAATAATGCTCCATCTTAAGAGTTCCTCTTCGAATACAGTCTATGACGTTAATCAGTTGTACTGCAACAGATACAAATGAACATTTATTAGGCCGTTCGATCGTCCGACTGATCACAAAACACCTCACTCGATTCAGCACTGATACAAACGGTATCTAACATTCGCACAATCGAATGCTCCACAACGCCAATCGGTGTCTTCAACGCATCCACTCCGTAATGTGAGCCATCCTCCTTCATCACTACAAACNTACCGCTCACCTTCGTATTTTCGAGCATTTCGATCGTTACCTTAATTCCAAATGCATTCCTCTTTGAATTTGAAAATAACTATCTGATACTTAACACTAATTTCATTCTGTATTGCAACAGTTTTATTTCTTTGATCCGTGACAGAGTCACTGTTATTATTAGTTCACTATTGATATTATCAGAAAATTCTTGACTGATCTTATCAGAGATTTATTTCCACAGATATGCTTCCATTCAAGAAACCAGAGATTTCTTGGGTGGAATGTATCTGTGGAAATTTCACTGGTGAGTTATGCTATATAATAGTGAACTAATAGTAAAACTTATTGAAATGATGACTTGTTGTAGATTCATAAGATCATTATTGTTCTGTAAATAAAAAATCTGGCCGATTTATCTAGTGATTTAAGGCTCTTGAAATCACAGACAACATATACATTGGAGCAGAGCAATTTGTGCAATAAAAAGTTGAATAATCTGAAAAAGCAGTCACTTGTTTGCCACCAAAAGATGAAATCATTCGTAAAAATCGTTCCCTGAGTTCAGCTCTTTTCTGTTGCTCACTCATCTCTGCAACACTGCTCTCTTCTTCATTATGTGCACTACTTCCTTGTGCCGTACTCATTTGAATCGCTCCTCAATTTTATCAAATAATCAAAATAGACTCTATCAACAATCTTCACTGCAATAATTCACCGCAGACAATTCCTCATTTCTGCAATATTCACCAAATTCAACAACCATGTGAAACTGCATAGCAAATGCCTATTCGAATCTCAATTTTAATTTCCTCACCACTCAGAGATGAAAAAATCCATCTATCTATACAACAACATCGCTTAATCTGACTGCTGATAAACTTCACTTCCCCACCAATCCTATCTTCTCCTATCATCTTTACCAGATAATTTTTTTCAATGCCAATCTTGCCCCGGCATCTCGCCTCTATTGCAATGTTCAGAGAACATTTCTGACACAAAAAACATTCCGAACACAATGACCATAAATATAAAGAACTGATTCAAAAACGTTGATTAAATCCACTGAAATGCCTCAAAATGAGAACGTATACACGAAATAACTGATCATTTATTAACAACAACATAAACTTGACAATGAGCACAACAAAGCGATTACATCATATTTGTAGTTCGACGTTGACATCCCGATAACAAACAATAACAAATGACAATAATTATTCTGATAGAGTATCATCACTTATATGATTCCGATTTTATTCGCAACATCCAACGCATCATAGTCGGGCGCTAAACGAACGTACGCTTTCTTATTGTGATGGGGTGTCACCAACGTATTCACCTGAAATCCATCCATCAGTTAAATTTTACAAAACGAAGTTCTGAAGCGCCGAGTGCTCAAGAATTTTGCTTTTCAACTGGAATTATCCACTTCCGGTTTCAAAGTTTATTGGTCAAACGAAACATTTGGAAAATTTCGTTGCTTAAATAGTTTAAAATTTATCCTTTCCAACAGCCAGATAAAACTTTAAAAATTCATATGATCTCATTACTTACGTCATTTTGATTTTACATGACATCCGTATCTTTAACAATAAAAACAATCTTGATACTGTTTGAATAAACTTAAACATAATTTGAATAAACTTAGCATATTGGAACAACTGGTTCAAATTATTGGTTCAATACGCCAATAATTTGAATAAACTCGACATGACCGTTCGAAGAACAACAAGCAAATGCAAACCTTCTGCACATCAATATTGTACAATTTCTTGACCGCTGATTTGATCTGAGGTTTGTTCGCGTGCACGTCAACAATGAATACCAACGTGTTCGTGTCTTCGATCTTCTTCATTGCCGACTCAGTCGTCAACGGGTGCTTTACAATAGCGTACGCGTCCAATTTATCTCGCTTCGGTACCGATTTTCGGGGATATCGGGGATTGCGAGCCAATTTCAATGTTTTTGGCCGGTAAAAATGCACCGATGTGCGAACCTTAATACAATCCAACATTAGTTCCATCATTTTTTCCACTATCGCTTTGATATAACCATTATTATTCTCAATGCTAAAGTGAAAATATAAGCCGGTCACCATCACCACAATGCAGCAACATACAAAATGTACCAACATAAAAACATCCCTATCAACTTTATCAAAGGATCATCATTTCTTACTCAACAACAATCGAGAACCCTACTGCTAAGGCATTTTAGCTCTAAATGAACCACATTCAAATAAACTTATAACAACAAATGCAATACGAAACGGAACGCTATGCAACATTTCAAAACGACAAACAAAATCAAGCGATCAGTTAAGAAGGAACCTTCTTTTTCTGAACCCTATGACGTCCTTTCACCACCTTCTTCTTGGCATCAAGTGCCTTGGCTATCTTCTGCTTTGAAGCAGCTGAAATTTTTTCACATCAGAACAAATTATATGCACACCAATTACACATCTTCAATCCATCTGCATTACTACTCATCACCAAACAACTGCGAATAACAACAACAACAACCATCGAAATAACTTCTTAAAAAAATAAACGAAATATCTTTCCGAAAACGTACCTTTATCTCCGGATTTTTTTACTGCTTGCTTTGGCGCCATTTCCCCTTAAATAAACTAAACTATTAATCAACAATCCTTACAATCCAATCAAATAACGTCTCTTGAAACTTATTAAAAGAACAATCAAAACAATGATCACAAACGATGTATCTGAAAAAAAAANAAAAAAAAACCGATGGTTTGAAGATAGACCAAACAAAATATCTGAACGAATCTCATTCAGTCGCAATATCAAACGACAATATTTCCATATAACGAAAAAAAATTTCAACAAAAAATAATTTACTCCACAGTGAACGAATCAAATATTCACAAATTTGAAAAATAAAACAAATTCATTCCAATATCCAAATGCAACAGAATGTGGGAAACGTGCAACCAGGCACTTCAACCGTCAAATGAGAACGTTAATTTCTTAGACATTAAGTCAGTAATTAAGTGAATTCAGTTAAGATGAGATATGTTTTACGAAGTGAATAAGGCAATTATAAAAGAAATGTTCATATATACAGTAACAACAATAATATCACTGAACACAGTGATCGAATATACAAATGCACTTATTGTCGTTGAATCAAATTCATCGATGCCGTGAACGTAAAGCACTTAGAAACTTGACTATAAAGCACTTCACGTAAAGAGAGAATACAATATAACAACACATTAATCAATTGAGATCATTCATTAACAAAATAAATTTGAAATGTGCAAATAAAATTAATCCACTTCTCTCATTTATGATCCATCATAGCCCAACATCCGTTTTCAAACAAACTCCCAAAAGTTTCAAAATATTTCAGAAAAAAAATCCAACGTTCAAACCAATTATCAGACTGGATTCTTTAATACACTATTCGCATAAAATGTTTCACGTTCACTTTATCATTATTTCAAGATGAGGTACCAAAATTTTAAAATTCACTTTCCAAAATTCTAAATTTTCATAAAATTCACAAACTGGAAACCTTCAAAATACCATCTCTTTCCGCTCTTCTACGATCATCCCTACTGCCACCCTTGCTACTTCTATCACTGCCATTTGTTCTCAGCAGACTTTTTCTATCAAGTTCCATCTCCTCAACACTGTTATTATTCTTATGAAGTGGTCGTCTTTTGGTGCCTCTCTCGAAGAAGAGATACGCAAAAAGACACGCCAGTACAGTGATTCCCATCAGGACACACGACAGAACGCCGATACCAATTTGATATGCCAGTACTTCACGACGCATCAAAGCTTGCAGTGGTGAGAACGTCGTTGTCATATACTCTACCAACTGAAAATACTTTCCATTCACGCACAAAAACAATGAACAGATATAAAATATTATGCACAAATAATATCATCATTCGGTAAAAGCTGAACAGTCTCCGCGACAGCTCATCACATCAAAGCGCCTAACCATAAACACCTCGCTGGTTCCACTCCCTCTCACCAAGTACAACCTCATTCCGAGCCCAGTGGTATACCAGTGTCATTGATATAATCATATTCATTCACCAATTGCATCAACGAACATATCTTACCGTCCCAATAAATTAAAGTGTCATCACAATCAGTCCCAAAAAATGAAAACCCATCACCGCACATACCTTATGACATATCAAAATCAATACTAACAATCAAACAAAACTGATTAATAACCCAAAATACCAACCGCAGGAATATAAACATTCCAAAACGCCACATCTTCCCAACGATAATCACGCATCAGTATGCCAGGTATAGTCATCTGCGTCCAATTCCGATAATTAAAATCCACGTACCAATGAGCACGAGGTTCGTACGGTACCCATGACGCATCATATGGGAAACTTGGATTCCTAAATTAACGAATAATAATGAAAAAGAAACAAAATAATCACTTTCATCAATTACCGATAAAACGAAGTAAAATGACGCTGCGATATCAACAATCAAACTAAAGATAATAATTTGAAACTTCAAAGTCACAGATCAAAGAGTATTGTATCGAGTGAAAGCATTAATGAAAATCGATGAATGGCATTGTAATTGTCAAAAACTTTTCAATTCACTTCGATATATTATAGTCTCGGCATGGTTTTCGAAGGGATGTAAATGTAACATTACACACCGCAGACACAAGCCATTCAACTCAGTAATCAAAAATTATTGCAATAATCAATGACGTTATCCCTCAACAAGATCACCGAAACGAACCCAAACGGAACCAAAAACTAACTGATTTTTCAAAAACTGTCGATAAATCGTTGTGAATAGTTGACTTGCGTTACGATCATAATCCGTCCATTTCACATTCTTCAAATACGACGATGGCAATAGATCAGTTTTCATGAACGGGAAACCGAACAGCAAATACAAATCACAGTCATGACACACACCTTCAATATCATATCAGTCCTTTACTATACACAATCACATCAATAAAAGAATCATATCATTGTCAAAATCAAACACTGATAGTGAGATAAAACGAAAATGGCTGCTCACCGATCCAATACGGTAAGAAGCTATGATTCGCACCACCGGCTCTACCAAATTCATAATTATTCACGTACATGAAAGTTCGCGAACCCGCGGCCGAGTGCAAGTTGGCCGACAAACTGACTGGTGCCACATAGTACGTGTCGGTTGCCAACTAAAATAAACTGAATTAAACAACTCAACTGACTGATAAATTTGACCGAAAATGTTTATAACTTTTCTATTCCAAAGTCGACACAAAATTTCGACCGCAACAAATGAACGTCTCAAACATTCACCTCGATGAATTTATTCCGAATAGCAGATTCGTTGGAGGGATCTGGCCAAAATGTGTATCGATCGATGATCGCCTCGCAGATCGCTTCACGATTCATCGTATAGTTATGACGGAACGCATATTCCAACACGAAACTTCTCAGGAACTGCTGATCCACCAGCAAAAAATCATTGAATTCACCAAGCAAACGATTCTCCAATATAACCTAAAAACGACGATTTTGCATTCCATTGCAAACAAACACAATAACACCTTCTAAAACACTTCAAAAATAACACAACAATTCAATTATTCAAAATTTCAATGTCACAAATCATATAATATTGTATCGAGTGAAAGCATTAATGAAAATCGATGAATGGCATTGTAATTGTCAAAAACTTTTCAATTCACTTCGATATATTATAGTCTCGGCATGGTTTTCAAAGGAATGTAAATGTAACATTACACACCGCAGACACCAGCCATTCAATTCAGTAATCAAAGATTATTGCAATAATCAATGATGTTATCCCTCAACAAAATCTCACGGATACAAGCAAAACAAAATTCACCTCGACCCCATCATTCCTATTCAATCCCGTCAAATAGGGCACTGGTGATGCGTAATTCATTCTCCCATCCGGTATAACACTCAACATGAACAACGGACTCGCTGGTATTTGCTTTCCATCCACTGTTGGCAAAAACACATAACGATTGTATTCTACCTAAATGAAGCCATCGTTATCAATAATGACAATGAAACAATAAAAATTTCCCACTCCACAAAACAAAACGATGCAAAACTGAACAACGAACAACGAACCGGAATAGTCCAAACTGCTTGAATGATATCGTTTGTCGATCTAGTCAAAATGCAGTTCCAAACATCCTCCGCAATCAGTTGAGTACATCCCAAATACCGACCCAACTTTATGGTGTTGTTGAATGCCAACGCTGGTTTTGTTATCACCGAATGATACGACACTTCTGCGCCAGACATGGCTGATGCCGACCGAAATAAACCTGAAATGCGCAGAACCGCCTGTTTCGCATAGAACATTCAAAGTTTCTTCATAAATTCTTCTCATTGATCACTATCGTTAATAATAATAAACAGTAACAAAACAAAGCATAAATATTACGAACCGACTGACAAAGGCGACAGCATATGTATTCCAACGCTAACCCCGCCAGCGTCATGCCCAACAACCGTCACCGATTGTGGATCTCCACCGAACGATGAGATATGATCACGTACAAATTGCAATGCCATTCGCTGATCCTTCAACCCAAAATCACTCACTCACCATAATCCCAATGAGCATTATTGAACGTCAGCAACAAACAAAACAATAGCAAGCAACAAAAAATAAACCGCTATCATACTTGTATGCCATAATTCCCAGTCACATCATCACCCATACTCATGAATCCAAACACACCCAATCGATAGTTGACCGTAACCACCACGATTCCACGCGATGCCAACACTTCGCCAGGCCACTCGTTTGCAGATCCTGTTTGAAAATTACCACCGTGAAAAAATACCAGTACTGGATACATCAATTGAGATACTTTTGATGCCTGAAATTCATCTTTGATTATTCACAAAATATTTATGAAGGAAAATAAAATTTCACAAGAACATAAAATGGAATATTAGAACATAAATAAAATAGAATAAATTTCATACGAACATAAAATGGAATATTCATAAAAATGAAATATCAAAAATAACTAACATCAGGTGTGAATATATTCAAGTACAAGCAATCCTCGCTCACACGAAACGGATAAGCATCATTTATCAGTATATTCGGTCTACTTTCAACATCTTGGGGACATACAGCCGCATATTCAAGTGCTATGTAAGGCTTATCACCCGGCAATTCGCTGATGTATTGTGGTGGCTGAAAATTGACACTGATTCAGTTCAATAATGACCACTTGACGAAAACAAAATCTTGCCGATTTAAGAAGGATTTAATGAGAACAAACCTTGAATCTTCGTTGCGAAACAGGCGGTTCTGCGTATGGTATACCGAGAAAGGTGAAAACTGTGATATTGTTTTTTGGTGCTACCGGATTTGGTTCAGGACGACTCCAATCTGATGGCATATTTTCTAGCGGGTCTTGATTCGCCGTCCACGGTACATTTTCAACAGTTGTCTTTCGACCAATCATATCACCAATTGACAAACGAACTATCACTTCATCTGGATTAAACTAAAATTCAGCTCAATTCAAATGCAGATCATGAATTCAACCAAAAGCTCATTTACAAACTATTTACGCATATCTATTTTAACGAATATCAAAACATCTCAAATTTCCAAACTAGAAGTTCGTAAAATTTCAGACTGAAACTAAACTCAGTGCAAAGGCAACCTGATGTTGTCTGATAATACAAATTAGAAAAACAATTCTGTCACTGGAACAATCAATTTGGCTACTTCTCATTGGCACGACATTCTGTTCTCATTCATACGATCAGCAAAAAAATGAATAATTCGTATGCAGCAAACAAACCTGCCCAGGATGTGGTGGTGTTGTCTTCGCACCGAAAGGATTCCAGATATCAACTGGACGAGTTGGTTGTTCGAATGATCGATACTGTGCTTGTGCATCCTTGATTATAATTGGTAATGACATCAATACCAAGTGGATATCAAGCAATGATCCCTTCATCATGAACCTTCTCTATTCAATTATAGTCGATACGTTAACGCAATTGAGACTTATCGATAGTTAACATTGCTGATCGCTTGGAACTGAAAACTTCGGTTTCAGCATAAATTATACTGGTACCTAGCTACTCAACGAGACTTCAACGGATTGATGAATCATCTTAAAGTCTGATCAAGAAAGAGTTTTATCAATTCCTTCACAAACAAGTCGGAAATATCGATAAAAAGTTTAATTCTTACAAATTTAATCTCTCACAACTCAAATAAGATGACAATACATAACCATCACGAATCAGTACATTAAAAAATTCATTTCAATTCAGCAAAAAGCCATATTCATCCGATTCACATGCGACATTCACCACTCAAATCAGTGACTCAATTTGAAGAGCCTCGGAAGACGATCACTTGCTTTTAAATAATACCGAATCCAGTAGAAGGAGTAGAAGGACCGATATGCGCGGAAGCGAACACCAATACAAAAAGGCTACGAAAATTGTGGAAAATCCCCAAATCTGGTTGAAAAAATTCAAAAACAAGCAGAAATACCCCCAGTACCTTAAGAAACCCCGTTTTCCTCTATGAAAATAGTGAGTACACTTCCACAGGGGAATTTCATCGGTATACGATCATTTCAGACTGACTGAGTAACGGCACCCTTCAAACAATGTCTTTGCATCTCTAAAACTCCGCGTAAAGAGTGATGCTACGGTAATCGCTTGAAGACTAATGTCTACCTAAAAGTTTTACACTGCGAGTCTTTCCTCTCAAAGAGCAACATTTTAAAACAACAATTACATGTACAACAGCATGCGTAACGTTTATTAGTTTCTTTTTGAATTGAATTATTGTATTGGTTAATGAATGAATACAGATTGTAATTAGTATTGAAGTCATTCAAGAATATATGATATGATCAGTCTGAAAATATCCGAGCCATATTAAAGTCCAATTGCGAGTGGAACAATTCATATCTGTCATTCACATCAGTGTTTTGGTGTTGTCAATTCAATGAGAATTTTTTGAGAGATACTTTTTTCTTACTTCACCCAGACCCTAGTTCCATAGAATTTACTCCTTCTATACATGGTAATTCAAAAATTATTTAGAGTCCATTCAATTTTTTCATAGTTTACGTCGAAATCCTTATTTTTCCTCACTCTCCACTTTTGAAAGTTCGTTATACTTTTATCTTACTCATCCCATTAGAGTAGTGGGTGCTCCATTACCCCTTTCGATGGTCTCCACGTCCTCCCGCTGCAATAATTTACTATCTTCACGTGTAACATCACAACTAATTTCCTGATCCCCTTCATTGCCCTCCAACACCCCCAAATTATCCAAATATGGGTAATTCCCCCCTCCCCCTTATGTGAACCCAGCATTACAGATTCAGTTATAATCTGACTTCATCAAGGCAAATTATATGTAAATCCCAATCGAAGACATACCAAATGGTAACACAACAATAATTCTTTGCATAGAAAGTTTTCATTTACAATTATTGAGTGCGAAATCCTATTAAATGGAGGAAAATTTGGTGACTTAATGAGAGGTTTTGATTTGATATGGCGAGTACGGAAGATGGGAAGATAAATAATGAGATGAGGCGAATACAGTAATGAGATGGGAAATAGTGATGAAATAATGAATTCTGTAGGAAATTTCGAAAATTTCGTATTAAAAATTGAGATTTATTATTTCACGTCTTTGTTTTTCTTTCTCATTTCACGCCACAAATCAACCATTTTGGGTCTTTTCGCTGGATCACTGTCCCATGCACTCTGAACCAATTCACCCAACCATTTTGGTATGTCTGACGGTATTTCTAAATATTTTGACATCAAAAATGTGACAAAACTTATGATTGTTTTCATTTGCAAAACAACTCCTTGATTGTTGTTTTATATAGAAGTTTGTTCTTCATCATCGCACTACCAATGATAATCATTGAACGTACCATATTGTTATCAAATCAAAATTCGGATTTGAAACTGATTATAAACTGATCATATCGATGAAATTATTTGATCAGTAATCGTAGAAATCAACCGTGATGATAGCAATAATAACAACAATAAACGCAGAATAATGAAGCGGTAAGGTAACGAACCGGCTCTGGCGTCCGGGTTTTCAGCTAAATATCCGATGAAATTTTCATCAGAAACTTCGTTGAAGGGTAGTTTCATGCTGAATACCTCATAAATTAACCAAGCAAACGCATAAACGTCCGTTTCGGGCGTTAAAGTTTTTGTCGTGATCACTTCGGGTGCTAACCACCGGCGATTCCGCGTCGTTTCCGGATCCGTTTTTCTCGATCTTAAATTTCAATCGATCGCATGATTGATCAGAATATCAGCACATCACCTCACTCACATGAACATTTCATTACGCGGTATCTAGCCTTTCAGATGGCTACGCGAACAGATAAACCTTTAATCGCTCACAAGGAATGCGAAAGACTCAGATTGAGATTTATTTGCAATATTCATCCATTCTGCTCTTATCGGATAAAATCAAAGCTATAGATGGATTTGTTGCTGAGGATATAAACCGAATCCGCTGATGTATGTAAGGTTCAAAAAAGGTAAGAGTAGAATCCATCGAAATCAGGAGATAACTACCAAAGTCGGACAGACGGAGACTGAACAGGAGGGCGCCTCATCAATCCAGTCATTTCAGCCAAGATAGCATGCGCGAGATTATCATGCTACCAATATGCTGTAAACCCCGGGTAAACAGCTCAACTCGATTTTATACCCATTCTCAAATGCTCTCCCCATATCAGCCTCTCTTCCTCATCAACCTCCGAGTTGTGCATTTCCAGAGGTATATTCGAGGATATGCGATTTGATATTGTATGGGAATCAAGAAAGTTACTGATCAAGAAAGATAATCAGTGAACTGTATTATTGATCGATATTAGATGAAAACAGTCACCTATCAGTCTTTCATATTACAAATGAACAAACAAAAATAGAACCTAGCCATAACAGCTCTGCTAAAGCCACCCAAATAATAAACGAATCGCTCTTTTTTTGTCGTTTTATCAGTCTTTATATCAACGAATACGTTCTTTGCTCTCAGATTACAGTGGATTATGTTCAGTGTCAAGCAGTGATGCAATGTGCATGCAAGATCTTGCACTATCTAAAATATTGCTCATTTTATCGCTTTTGGCCAATATTGCTCTAAACCAGCGGTCCCCACCCTCGACTGCTCTATTACTTCATTCGATGGTCTGGCAGACCGTCATTGCCCCACTCCCGCTATAATTTTATTTTCACACATAACGTCAAAACTGGTTTCCAGAGCCTCTTCATTGCCCCCTGACACCCCAAGTTATCCAAAAATGGATAATTTCCCCTCTATGGGGACCCTTGCTTTAAATGCATACAAATCTATTTATGATTACTTTTATATGTCCATAATGCTTTCTTAAACATAACTTAAATCAATGGTCGTAGTAATGATATTTTAAAAGTTATAATTATTCCGATTTGACAATGATCAAAATAAAAAGGCGAATAATTAAAGATGAGTAGAAATACCGATAATTTTTGTTTGACGTCAACATTGTAGTTTTTGATATAATCCAATAACGAACCACATTTACACATTTTATAAGCAATATAATACGGTTTACTTAAGGTTATCACTGCCTCAACATTCAACGCTGTGTCCCATCCGATCTGATGGCGAATTGTGTTCACTATGTGCATTTCCTGATCAGTTCATCATTAAGTATTTCATTAATGTTGATAAAAATATTTGTTATATGAAACGCACGATTAAAATAAGTGAAAGTGTAATGAACGTACTCGATAGATGTCATCGAACACTCCAATACTGTAGTCCTTCAATTCCTTCAGTATTATCGGACGTTCAAAACTATCAGCAATTACTCCCTTTCTAATTATAGTTCTGGTTGCTTTATATATCTGAAACATAGATTATGCTGATGATATCAAGGATAATTGCTGATATTATACAATTATCATTTGTTTTGCTGACAGCCGGTATTACTCGTTATCACTCAATCTTTTGCCATGCGATATGGAACAAATTGAAACGAGCATGGAATGCATGAAGAATTTGAATACACGATTAAAATTTACGAATATTGCAATGAAAATTTAAAAAATTCACGATTAACAACGATGAGTTTGAGAAATGCGAAAAATATTGGAAAATGCAAATGAAACCTTAGATCTGTCGCTCTCACAGATCAAATCTCCGATAGCAATTTCATCCATGGATCTAACTTGAACAAACATAAACGAGTATTCCTTTTTAACGTATTTACATCCTTGACACGGAATCACTTCTTCACGTAATTCAACGTCACGTTTCACGTTTTGTCGTAGGATGTTGTTCTTGAATTGTTTTTGTTATTGCAATTATTATCAATACTGCTTTTACTCTATTCAGTACTCATGTACTGTATAAGCATTTACAATAATGAACTGAAATGAACTTACATTACTGGTTCTGTATGCTTGGATTAATCCCCAAAGTGATCGACTTTGTACGAGTGTATTCGTGATACGATAATACATATTGCGATCACCACGAACCTCCAATTGTTCTTTCATTATTCAGTAATATTAATTGTTTTCAGTATTTTATTCTCATTATCATTCCTTCTGTATCATTACCATTGAAATTATCGGCATACAACATTATCACAAATAATATTACTATCACGAAATATTACTAAACTGTGACTGTAAAGTATTTTGTCGCGAAGATCGCGATATAACGCTGCTCCAAGCATCAAGTGATTGAATTGAATGTGTGTGATACAGTGGTTAATAGTGTGGCATTGTGTCGCCTTAGAATGGATCACCAATGTTGTTCAGTGTTGCTATGTATTTCGTCAATGTATGTGAAAAGTTTTTGAATTGTGGGATTCTCGGTGATGTTAATTGTTGGAATGTGGTTGATATTTGATGTGTTTTATTTAATTAATTACTGTATTAATTACTTTCTTGTTCGTAGGAGTGTTGTTTAATTAATTGATCGCGCATTTGATTTGATTGAATTACTTGTGGTTTAATTACCCAAGTTTGAGGTGATAAAACAATTTGGAACGTCGAAGAAAAAGGACGTAATCAATTCTGACTGAATATTCAAATTATTTAGATTACAACAGTATCACCTAGAACTGGGAATTGTTAGTTCGTTGCTATTGTAATAGTCTGGAGTCATTTTGACCCATCGACACTGTTATTGTTATTGATGCTGAACGAATAATTCAATCGTATTCAAGTAATTCACGAATCATCCTAATCCACTGAATCTCCTGATTACTCTACATCGATTCTGTGGTATTATTGAATTCTCTTCGTCAACAACTAGCGCCGGCGCAGCTTTACTAAACTAAATATCAACCCTTCGGACAGAATCGCCAACCAGACACCAGATCGGACCGCAAGGAAATATCGTTGGTGCAAATTCATTGTTGTTGTGAGTTATTGTTCGAATAGTTTTTTGTGTGAGTACTGAATTGATTGAATTGAGATTGTTGCTGAGTTGGTTCATTGAAGGAATAATTGCAAGTTACTACTGTCGCTTTCTTGTTTGTGGTTATTGTTTATAACTAATAAACTCATCGTTGTTGCACTACGAACTTGTCACAGTGTCTCATATACCAATCACGGTATTTCGAGAACCGGAAAGAAATTAGCTTTGTTGTGAAATTCACGACATATTTATGCTTAAGACAGAACCCGTTATATTCTGAAGGAATTTTTATCGATACATCATTTCCAGTACATTTTAGTCTACCTCTCGATAATTTCGAAAAAGTTGTGCCACCAATAAATGAACATAATAATAAGCATTAACAGTTACTTGATTAGTCTGCACAAATTCGATCGGTAAGTGCACACAAGGATAATCTGGCTGTTCGTTCGATTTAATTGATAGACGAAGTTTATTATCATGTCCTCGGGACAGCAGAAATTCACCTTTAATCAGTTCATTTACATCGACTTCATCAAGATGTTTCGTGATTAATGGATATAAAATAGTGTTAATGTTTGTATGTAATCGTGTTAATAAGTGGTCTTAATACATGTTAATATATGTAATAATGATTAGAGATAAGGATAATAAGAATGAATTTAGCAAGCAATCGGTACGATGAATAAGACTGACCAGGCTCTTTGAGTAATTTCTCTTCGATGTACCATTGCGGGAGTCGTCCAAAATAGCAGTCAATATCTCGCAGGTGCTGTGGTTCTGGTCTAATCCACTGAGATCTTGGCTTACCTTTCAACTTCTGGATATCCGTCGGAGTGGGCCATCGATGCTCACATTTACGCTATAAATTTTATGGTGTCCATATTCCTATTACTATCACAAATATAACGATTTTATGGTGTTCATTATTATTAATAAGTGTTGATACTACTATCTGTTCTCGTTGCATTAGTGATGAATCATTGCCATTTATGATCTAAGGTGTTTAGAATGACATTTCGCGCTTCATGTGGCGATTTGACTTCGAATGAAAATATGGTGCTACCGGAGGTTCGAGTTCTCATTGCTAAACTGAGTTCACTCGCTGGTGAGTTGATAATGAAACAGTGAACCTTGTCTAAAATCTCAGCCACATCAGCTGCTTCACCCATAGTGTTATCCTTTTTAGCTTTCTTCTTGCGTTTTTGTGGTGGCATCATATTCAGCTGGAAATTATTATTGTTTGTTTATTGTTTATCAGTCGTTTTATTGCTGTTACCATTACCATTTTGTTGCTACCACTTTGCTGAGTACTCACTTCGATACTTCATTAATATAGATTAGTATTTGCAAAATACAAATACTAATCTCAACTAATCGTTTCCCATTTATAATCGCACTTCAACTTCAAGTACTAATCTATATTGATTAGTATTTGAGGTTGAAGTGCGATTATAATTGGTAAACGAAGCATCACGGAAGAGGATGCAGTAATGATTCTGACTGCGATTGTTGAATGAATTTCTTATTCTTCATGCATCCCATTCAAAATCAAGTCAATTATGAAATTTTTATTTACTGCTTCTGAAAAATCGAAGCAGAACTGGCGCATTCGTTGCCGTTTGAGTAGTAAACAGCAAATACAACTGAATATGAATGAACTGCGAATGACTAATGTGTAATAAAATATGAGTACATCCTTGAAATTATATAAAATGCCGTGTTTCATCAAATCCCGAAGTCGTGGGATCTTTCATAACATAAGTCTCGAACCCGGAATTCAACAGTCGGGATCCGAGGATCACGTGCAAACACTGTGACAAATACAATATCTGTATTCATTAACTATGAATACACTGCAGCATAAGTTTATGAAGATTATAATAAGAGGTTACCATCGGGTCATCTTCCTTTCCCTCCTTGTCGCCTTTCTGCAAATAAATATTCTGATTGTGATTGCGGAATGAATTTCTTATTATTCATGCATCCCATTTACATTCAAGTCAGTAAACAACGAATTTTCGAAATAATCTCGAAGGAAAAATAGAATTTCTGGATGAAATAATAACTAATGAAATAATAAAACTCAGCACAATGCCGTAAGCAATCTTCACATCTAGTTTCTTCATCAACTGAAATTGCCTCTTAAAAGTTACTGACAGACAATTGAAGCGCAATGTTTCCACGAGCACTCTTACTTAAAGCATGACTTCTTCACTTAACGACTATCATAAGTGAAAACAGATATTTTTAGCAACTTTCAGCTATATGATTTTCGAGAAGCCATCCGACCACTTGAAAAGAATGACAATTGGTGAAGCTAAGGATCAATCCGGGTATCGAACACAGAATCAATTTCAGGCTGAGCCCTGATTCAGGCTGGGAAATTTTCCCGAAATTTGAGCATCTCTTTGGTTTGCAACTATTCTTCTTCCATGATAATCGAACGCTCCATCCGGTCAACTCTCACAGTTTGGCTTGCAACTACTGTTCTACGCCTTCATCCATTTTCAGTGTTGCATTACTGAGCGATTCCTTCACGCCCTTTGATAACTAACTCCCTAACGACCAATCATTCCATGTTCAATAATATCTTCAGTCATTACAATCAAGGATGCAAATAAGAATAACTATAAACCAAAACCTTTTTAGCCGCTTTATCAGCCATTTATATCAGTTTATCACTGTCTAAAACAACATTCATTAACATAATAATTTACTCACCAGCAGTTTTCTCATCATAAATAAACTAAATTAATGAGTGCATGCAAAAATCAATGCATTATCTGGTCCTCTCTTCTAAGCTCATATTTTGTCCAATTGCATGTGTTCATACAAAGCTATCGTGAATTTTGTTATCTGATAAAGGACCATCATTGGAGTAAATAGTAATAATCAATGAGGTTCAGTAATTTCCATTTAATTGATTCATCATTCCATTGCGCAGTCCATCGAATGGCAGTGAAACTCAGGACTTATATACCAACATCAATGTGCGAGAATGTTTTGTTCACGCATTCATGTTGCTTACANGAACATGGCAAGAACATGAGGGGCATCAAAACAGGCACAGCAGGCCATCATTAATATTAACCTCCACAACACCGACGGCATAAACGCAAACTAACTTTGAAACAAAACAGAAACGTGAAAACAAACAAACACCACAACCCCTAAAATAATTCAACCACTCACCTCACCGAAAATATCAACAACTAAATCGTCACAAGATGAACTCAGACTTTATATTTGAAATGGAACTGAAAACGAATTTTGAATGACGAAAAGATTATTTTGTAAGCATCTCGTAAATTTGATGCAGTTCAACTGAAGGGCACGAATATTTATTTATTTATTGCAATCATGATCACGTGAACAAAATTTACACATTGCACAAAGTTACGTGCGCGTAATTGTTGTACATGAATACTAGGGCTTCTGACTGTTTCTTGAATGTATACTGATTGATTTGCCGATCACAAGTGGATTCATCGATTTGCAGTGACGATAATGCTGCACTACTTGACGATATCCACCACCCTTTTACTTCAATGTGAATTCAGTTCAATTCAAACTCATTGCTGATTCAAAATGTGGATTATCGTTGCTGGGCGTTGAACAGTTGTTTGAAGCGATCATTGGATCCCTTCTTTGTCTTAATCAACCGGAGGGCAGATCTTTTGAGTTTATACCGTTGCCTTTCTCTTTCTGGCAATCGCTGAAGCAAGATGGAAGCGTAGCTTCGTCACCCTAACGATGCGACAGACAGACCATTGAAGGTCCGGACAGTACCCAACGATATCAACAGTTTCCTATGCTAATCGTCCCAATGTAATGGAAGAGAAGTCGCCGAAAAATGAAAAATATGTTATTTGTTGATAAAACAAAGACATTTTTATGTTCGCAATAAGACATGATTAATACTACGAATTCAGTTCCGGAAAAAGTTTCTCATCGAGTGATCTTCAATGAAAAAACGGTCGCGGATCTGATCCGTTTTCTCCCAACTTTAGAGTGAGTTTTGCCCAATGCTGAAGGATGGATCAGTTGACTGGAATTTAAATACTGCACAAATATAATATTAATAATTACAACTGAACGTAAAATTATAAAATGTTCACAATTTTTTTCGTAACTTTAAACAATAAATTATACACAGAACAAAAAACATTATTTTACAGAACGAGAAACACTCTTTTTCACATAAACAGACACACATATGCATACACCAATAATGGAAATGTGATGAATGCCCTTAAAATGTGGTAAATGCCCATTTCTTTCTACACAAACATTCAAACGCATCAGGTATTACAGATGATGTATTTATTATTTATTTTGAATTTTTTTGCAAAATTTTGAACATTTTCGCGTTCTACTTCCACAAATATACAACAAATAATCACATTCACTTCTGCTCACGTCGTCTATATATCACGTACCTGAAAAGTTAATGTTCATTCAAGCAACAACAATAAGTACAACAACGACAGCAACAGCAATAATGATAATCTCAATAAAAATCACAACAATGAAAGTAAAAATAATGATAATTTAAGAAAAAATAATATGAACAAATACCAATCGAAGAAAACAAACATTTTGTGTGACTTTACGCCCTCTTCGAGGACGCAGTCGTCTAGTATCATTATTCGTATTATAACTGCCATTGAAAACGGATGATGAATACGTACTGCTTCCAGCTGAGTTCGGAGACTCGTTAAAACTCTTCACATTATTTTCGTCAGCGAACTAAAAAATTCCGCATTCATTTACACGAAAATAATAACAGCAATAACGACAGTAATTCACAAATAACCAACAAAATGCCAAATTCAAAACCCACTTTCACTCGTTTAACTCTTTTATTCGGTACTGCATCAAAAGCGGGTGACGGTGTTCTGACCTTAATCGACGAATTGAACGTGCTCGACGATGCAGACGCTGACGTGTGGAATGACACTGAAACTTAGCTACTCACTAAACGTTTAAAATTTCCACAAATACGAATGTTTTTTCTTCAGTGACAAAGAACTTTCACATTGATTTGGTACAGAATTTCGCTTGTTCCTACTATCTCATTACCACTAATAGTTGTTTTGACATTAATACTTTTACAATGCACAATACCCTTGCTAACTTCATTCAACGTCCCTATTCGTTCTCCTCTGGTTTGAGATGTGCACAAAAAGCGGCTGTCTTGCAATTTGCTGCGACAGAGTTTCAAGGAGTAAAGATCACAATTTCCAGACAACAATCAGGCAATGGAACGATAACTGACTCCGCAGATCAGTTTCATGCTGATTATCATCTGCCAAATCCATATTCTGTCCGGTCGATGCCTCATTTTCATCTGATTGCTTTCGTTCTCTACTTCGACGATGATCCCCATCCGAATTGACATTTGCACGCGAGTCGTCTTTCTCATCAGATTCACTCGAAATCGCTCTCGGTGCACCAATAAATTCAGTGAATGTTTTGTGATTCGTCTTTGTATTATTATTGTTATTATTCGTAAAGTCAGAGTTGAAATTCTCGTCATTATTCGACGAATATTGTGTTGCGGTTCGTGTCGTATCGCTCAAAGTCATCAGCGAGTCGCATCCACCTACCACTTGTAGATTCTCCACATAGTCTTGCACACTCTCAACGCGATCTTTCAAACATTCTGAAACTTCGCAAATTCAATCTGATGAAATTTTGTTCGATTAACTTATATTCCTAATCTTTCTTTAGCCACTTTCTATTCGTCACCTTCTCTTCTCTTCGAATTCGAACTATGTCTACCTCTATTCGTTTGATTTTGATCAACGTTTCACTTTTTTAATTCTGATTATGTGAACTCGATCAGTGAATGTTTTGTTGGGAACGAATAGTGTAGAGCAATTTCAATTGAACACAAATAAATAACACGAAACCTTTCGCGTGCGCGACAAGTTGTGGTCTTTTCGCAGATCTCGCAACATTCAGTTGCATTCGGAGTGATTTAATTTCAGCCTCTGATTCTTTTCGCTTTCTTAATTCGGTGGCTAATTTACGTTCCTTTTCTCGACACTGATCGAACAAATCGCCACGATCTCGTTTCAGCTCGTCAATTTTCTTGATCAATCGTGAATTTTCCTCACTCAAATTGTTTATTCTTATTTTTAATCAATTCACTTGACTCTTCTGTTGGGTTTTGAACATGTTTTCGAGATCAGTTTTGATAAAGCGCGGATAGCGAGGCTACGATTCAAAAACAAATCAATGTCATCGCTGAATAGTGCAATGAGCAATGAGAATGGTTACTATATGATTAACAATATAATGATATCAACATTTAACAAATATAAGTTCCTGAGACAATTGAATGAAAATGAACATTGGATCATAATAATGTTCAATAATAATATCAGTTAATGAGTGCAAAAGTAATCCGCAAGGGAGGATGCGAGACCAAATGATCATATTAAGACTGGAGAAAACTTCAAAAACGATAAAAGGAACCAAATATCGCCAACCTTATTTTTCGTATAACAGCATCACTAAAATTTCTGCCAACCCCGTCCATATTTCGACTCATTACTGTTGTTGTATTTTCTTTATTGGCATTAAGCAACTTCTCTTTGGTCAAATGCAATTCAGCTCTCAATTCCGAGATTTCCGTCTGCAGTGCAGTCACATCACCTTGAAATAGTTATTGCTTAAGTGAGAAAACGTACTAAACTTGTATGAAAATCAACAAATAAACGAATGAATGGATTTGAATTAATTAATGTATGACGAGTAAACTAGACGAATAAACACAAACATCAATTAACGAGTGAAATTTTTTCTTCGTATAATGAAGATGAAGAAAGTATAAATGTCAATTTTTTTCATATAATGAAAGGAAAAACACGTCAAATTTTCGTAGAGTGAAGAAAGTATAAATAAATTTATAACGAATGAAATAGAATGAAACAATATCGATAACGAACTCGATGCTCCACCGGCTGATGGTATCGCAAGTGCATGCACCAACTGCTGTCTGAGACATTCTGATTCCTTCTCCAAGTTGACGTATTTCGCACGATACCAATCATTTTCAGTTTTTAGCTTTATCAAATCTTTCTCCAGTTTTAAACGCTCATCAACAAACTTAAACATTTCCATTCATTACAATAATGAAAAAAAAAACGAACGAAAGCAATAATATTGCAGTAGTAGCAATAATGATTATATTATTCACGCTCCACTGCATGAGATTCATTACCTCATTCTATTCAAAAATAACAATATGACGAATAATGAATAACTGCAATATCTATAATATCAATCACCTCAGCGAACATCGAGTTTCCTTTCTTTGCAACTTTAACATTATTTCGATCGTTCTCTAGTTCGGCTGTTAATTCCGCGTTGCGTGCTCGTGATTCCTTAACAATTTTATTTTTGAAATTCTATTTCATTCAACTGAAGATAATTTCGTCCAGCCACGATCATAGATACCAAACAACAACAATAACGCATGAAAATAATGAAAGTGCGAGTGATAAGGAATAAAATACTCTGCAAAATAAAACCGCAAGAAATCACCTCGGCATCACGTCTGTAGTCATTACACAACGATCTCAACTCATCTAACTGCGCGATCATCACTTCTGTCTCACGGCTTTTTTCAATTAGTTCTTGTTGTAAACGCTCCATTGCATCGTTCATATTTCTTATATATTCTTCATTTTCATCCTGCATTTTTCAACCAAATATTTCACTTTCATAAAAATTACGATTCGTTTATCAATAAAAACCAAGCAAGTAAGCAAATGAGCAACTATCAAACAAATAATAAATTATTATAACAACAAATGAACAAACAATAAGTGAATAAACACAATGTAAAAAATAAGTAAATAAAGATTATATTCACAATAGTAAGAATATCATTGCATAAGAATATCAGTGATAATAAACGAATGAATAAATGAAATGCAAGTTACTTACAGCTTCTTTCTGAAGTTTAGCGAGTTCAGCAGCATCTAAATTCAATGCTGACTGATTGTGCAGAAATGATGACTCATCATGAAGATTCCTTCGTTGTAACTCTTCGATTTCCCTCTCTCGCTCTTTCAATTTCTTCTCCAAATGTGCTTTTGCAAGTTCTACGCTTGACAGCTGACTACATTTCACTGATACCTATAATCTTATGTCATTTTCACAGACATCATTGCCCTCATAATTACTGCGATTACGAACGGAACAGAATTCACAGAAGTAATATCCCATAACATAACACTGATGAATGGGCTGAAGTTAATGTGAAAGGAATGAAATTAATGTTGAAATCAAACACGGTCAATAACAACCAATATACCTGTTCTCCCATATCCAATAAACGCTTTTCTAAGTCAGCAACAAACGCTTTTCGATTCGTTTTCGCCTCATCCAGCTCCTTTCTCAACTCCATCATATCTGTTTCACCTTCTTCCAGTAGTTCATCACGTTTTTTCAATAGAGTTTTCAGTTCTTGAACTTCCTCAAATTCAAAGTTCCATCAAATCATTCACCGAAATAACACCATATTACAAGAATACTGTGGTATACGTGGAAATATTAAACCATTTAATTATCCTTGTAGAATTGCTCGTCTCGAATGAAGGGCATTATCCAAAACCGAGAAAATTTTTGAAATCCATTCCCCTTCTGAAACTAACTTTATCTTTTTGGAAATTCTCTTCACTAAGGTCCTTCAGACGTTCTTCTCGTTCCTTGTCTTTATCTAGCAGTTGCTTCACCATTGTTAATATTGTCTCTTTCTCTTGTTCATACGCATGAACTTTTTCCCTGAAGAAACTCGCACGATTTCGCTACCAAGAAATTCATCAAAAATTCATGATAATTCATCAAGAATCATCTGAAATTCTCATTATCTTATGATACCACGAATCTTAAACCAGACCCGAAACTAGAATAAACATTCGGCTGCGAAAAAACTCCAATATTTTCTTTTTCCAACCTATCCACCCAATTATTATTCCTATCCATTCTTTACGGAGATTGTTTTATTTTCCATAAATTCAATCTTAAAGCAATAGATAGCGATGATAACAAACCTCAAGAGGTTGATTTGTTCAACCTCAACCATACTGCTGCTGAAAAAAAAANAAAAAAAAACAACTTCATTTAAGGATTTAATCGAAGACCCGAAAAGTGATATTAAACGCATTTCGAACAAAACGAACGCATTTGACTATGTCAAAGCAAGACAACATACAGTTTAGAAAGGAAAAAATGTTAATATGAAACTATAAATTTGGCCTCAATATCCGTTCTGCATTTGTCGTGGGAAATGCAAATGGAAGCCGCTGACTAGATTTCCACTTTTAGGTGAAAATTTTGCTTGAAACCGAGTAATAAATCAATTCCATTCAAATCACCTGGCTTAAGCCAGGCAGTGAGCCGACTCAAATTAAATTTATCCACGTGAATATGAACACAATCTCACTAACTAACGTGCAATATGAGCACTGGGCGCAATAGACCGATCAGTGCAAAAACATTTCTTTGAGTTGATAATTTTTCAAAGAATTTCTGCTTTTCAAAATTCAGAACAGAAAATAATTATGCAAGTTAATTCTACGCAGTAGGACTTAACTGCGCTTTTGTAAATCAAATTTTCGGTACCCAGTCGGCTGTGAGATCCAAGACTTGTTCTAAGCCTGGATGGAAACACATGCGATCCTCCGCCCAGGTTTCAGCCAAATTCTGAGTCTAACTACAAACAGCTTCAAGCTTAAGCTTAAACAGGCTTTTGTCAAAGCCTCAAACTCACAATGGAACAAAATTTAGCTAAAGTCTAACAAACTTTAGGTTAGCTCGGAATCTTTTTATGAGTGCAAACTTACGATTAGGCTCGAGATATCTTAACGATATGATGTAAATACTTCAATACTTCCGGTCCTAGTATCAATGAAGCATTCGAGATCAAAGCGCAAGGATAACTTATTTTCGCGCACATAGAAAGCAACATTCAGCTATGTAAGAAAGAAAAAGAGAAGAATTTGCTTGGCTTTACTTAAGAAAAAGTCTGGCAGAATGCATAATTTTAAAATGTTGATAAACATTAGTGCAAATGCAAACATCAAGCACACACTTAAAAGCGCAGTTAACGCTGGATATAATGTGTAGAGTAACGAAACAAAATCGATGCAAAATACAAATTAGGAAGGATAGATGAATATATATGCCATGCATTTACGAGCACAGAACGAGGCGAGCATCCAGAAAACTATGTATGTGGCTGATGCTCGTTTACGATGCCTTAACAAATCTGTTAAATCCTCTCTCAAAAAAAGTTATTTTAAATTGAAAAATTGCTGTTTCCAAATTCTGTGAGGGTAAGGGGAACTCAAGCGCTGAAGTTCGGAAGACCCTAAGGCTGGATCTGAGCCTGAGCGCAGGTACGCTGTAAGCTTGACTGAGTCAATTGCTAAAGATGTAGTAAATGCAAGTAATGGTAATGAGATATTCTCGGAATAATGGGAAGCTCATTTAACCGCTTGAATGAGAATCACATAAAGATTAAAAATTGTAAACTAAGAGGACACTTTCTATATCGGCTTTATTTACGTCTTTTCTGCCAACAATATGACGACTGCAAAAGAAACAGAAGTAAACAGACAATAAATGTATTCCATGGTATCGTTGAATTGTATAACAGCACTTCATTTCGACTAGATTACGTTTCAGCCGATTGAAGCACATTTCAATCATTATTTTTGCGAAATATGGATGAGTCGAAACACCGAACAAGCTCTAGCCCAATGCAAGACTGTTTTTCCAGATAAATTTTAACAAATCTAAATATAACTGACGATGAGCCCCAGCTAAGCCTTGATTGTTTCTTCTAACAATGCAAACGTGAGTAATGCAAACGAGCCTTATCCATATATTCAAAAAATAACGTCAGAAAACTTAGCTTCAGCCTCAAAGAAAAACAACTTCACCTAATCGCAAGCCAGAGTCCTTTTGCATGAGCAATGTAAACAAGCCTACCATTGCATCTTGAACGAGACTTACTCTATGAGCAATTTTAGCATTCAGTTGCAATCATTTCATGGGGATTTATCAACGTCTTAATGACCATAAAATGCTTTCGGAAGAGCAAAAAGACAAAGCACATCATCGAATGTCATTTCAAGTAATGTGACTTGTGACTGTAACTATAATCTTACGACAATGAAGAGCAAAGGAAATATTATCTTTATAGAAGGACATTGATGATGAAAATGATGAAGCGTATTATAATTGATGTGATGTGAGCAATTCATGAAAAATGGCAGTACTTCATGCATGAATTAAGATTTACGTTCGAAATTTTTAACGATACAAATTGCTCGTTGAACACTAGTTCAATTTTTCAAGAAATATGACAAACCATAAAATGAATGAATAAATAGAGTATAGATCAATTCGAGCATTTTCAAACCGCACAAATCACAGAACAACTTGATTTCAACAAAAATGCTAGCTTATCAGGAGCAAACCGACCGAGAGTGCTTAAAATTGGCATCGAAAGTGAGCATAAATGATGATTTGAGGGATTTATCGTTCGCTTACAGAAATTANTTAGCTGTCAACTGATTGCAATTTTAGGGATTTCGGGTGGGCCAATAAATTGCATAAGGCATCGATTTCAACATTCGAATGAAACGGATTCTGCCTCAGTTACGACAGTTTTCAATGCGAAAGAGAGTCGGATGAAAGGAAACTCGTAGGCAATGTCGAAGGACGCTATAAAATGTATTGAAAGATTCCTATGATAAGAGGGGTAATGCCCTATTAATACTCTATTAACAGCTATATTTGCAACATAAATAAATTTACGAAAAGCAAAAATTTAAGAAGCTTGTTGAATAAACAGAACAAAATGAAAATTTGAATTATAATTTTGGCGCTCTTCAGTAAATACACGTGCGAAGAGAATATAACAGCATTAATAAGAGATATCAAATTGTAATTGGCGATGTAAAGACTCTTGGTGTATATCGTGGAAGAATAATTAAGTAAATGAGCACTGTATGAAAATGTCCATTTTAAATCGAAACATGTCATATTTTAAACAAAATAATCAATTTCTCTTATGAAAATGTGCCTTTGATCAGTTCCAATAGAGGGAACTGTGATGTTTTTCTATAGGAAGAAATGAGGTTTTTCGATGAGATACACTTGAATTTAAAAAGGAATGATTTTATCGCATAAACTTCGGATTTTTACATAACATTTTAGACATATAATTTACATGATTGAATAAATAATCAATGCATATTTTAACAAATTAAGCAGTACAAGTAATGATTAATAATACTGTCAGCGATGATTAACCGAAACGTTTATTTTTAATCACTTACCTGTGATCGTGTGGTTGTTGGTGATATAGTTGAGTAAAAAATAAAAATGGTTGTTGCAACGAAATTTGAACTTGAAACGTTTCTGTCGAGGCATCAGAAATTTAAAGTCAAGGTATTCGGCTTACTTTTACGGAACTCGTTTATATATTATTACTGAACTTTTGATGAGTCGTATAGTTGATTACATATATTTGTATATAAATAAGCATTTACTTACAAATAGTTACAATAGTAGGTATGCATCTATGGTAAGTGATGAAAAATGCAGGTAGAATATAATATAGAGGAACTGATTGAAATGATCACAACTGCGAGAGTGTTATTCTCGGGTGAAAGTGCCCTGGTAGAAGTGGGCATACCACTGGTTATCGTTGGTGATATACATGGACAGGTGTGTTGTTGCTTGATTTGTAAGTTGTAAAAACAGACAGTGCAATTATTTCAACTCTCCAGGATATGATGCTCTCCAAGAACTAAAATAACAGATGCAATTGAGATTTTACCCGGACATTATGCATATTTTAGTTAGAACTGGACAAGACAGTTCTCACTATCAGCGAGAACATCATAAAGCCACCACTTATTCCAGGTCTGCAAATGAGTCCATGCATGCTTTAAACAACGCCTGAGCTCATAACCAAGCAAGGTTTCGCCAGGCTGAGCTCAATTATAACCAGTCCTATTCACTGACGAGATTTGAGCCAACAGAAGACTGAGCTATTTGGTTAAGGGAAGGGAGGGGGGGGGGGGGCAAAACTGAACCTTAACCCCATTGCGCTTGCTGCTACACAAGAAATCTGGGCAGTATGAATGTTGTATCGGTCCTTCATATGATAGCCCAAGAAATCAATCACGGCCACTTATTGATAACGAAAATTCAATCAAATTCTTGCCTTGTTGCATTACGATTTGCACGGATACTTGAATTAACGCTTCATATGCAATGCATAAAAACAATCAATCTCGAAAATACATAAGTATTTTAGTTGTGTGAAAAAATTTTATGAGGAATTAGTAATTTAAGTATACGGATTTACAAAGGATATTCTGCGCAGTTGGTCGACCCGGCAAAACACGTTTCTTATTTCTTGGAGATTACGTCGATCGAGGACCACAATCGCTCGAATGTATCGCGTCACTTGTCGCTTGGAAAATTGCATATCCGAAAAGAGTTAACTCCATTTTATCAACATTACCGTTATCATTATCATTATCACCCTTTCAATTATACCGTTAATTATGTTATATCAATATCATTAAGCACACATATTCCACTCGTATCATTCATGTGCTACTGCCATCCTTCATGATTACGGACTAAATGCGGCTGTAGGCACAGATGGGCAGTAGCGATTTATTGCTACTTAGCGAAATGCTTATTTCTCTAGTAGCGAAATAAGATTTTCGCTATTCTTCGATAAATAACGATAGCGCGCTACTACCCATCTCTGAATATAAGGAAAAAATCCGTTACAATTTCTAAGTGACAGATGAGCGAAAGAACAGTATCATCACAATACCAACCATGCACGATGAATCTAGTTCTTAAATATTGATATCGTTCATTAACATCTCTTTTGAAGGTATTCCTTCTTCGCGGAAACCATGAATTTGCATCTGTGAATCGTGAATACGGTTTCTATGACGAACTGGCACAACGCTTTAGTGTTGGTATGTTCGCGAGAGCTATTTGATATAAATTTGAATTCCCATGGTGAACGATGATGTGAAGCATAATACTAATTACATCAAAATGTCGGATCTAGAAAAAAGTTCCGAAAAGAGGGAGGGAGAGAGAGCTAATCGAAAGTTTTGTGGGGCTAAACGTCGCCGTATCTACGGATCACTTTCTTCGAATTGCTGATATTATAAGGATATCATATAAAAGACTAGAAGAAATCGAACATTTTCTAGCTAGCAATTCATTGATCAAATAAGCCCAACATTATGAATCAACCCATCGGAATGATTATTACACTCAATTGTGGTAGTTTGTATCAAAGAATTAAAATATTCCATATTGAAATAGCATTCAACACAATAACGATATGAATTAAAGCGCAAGCAATGCAAATCTGGAAGGAATTCAACGATTTGTTCACAGTGTTTCCATTCGCAGCACTCGTTAAAGGTCGTATTCTTTGTATGCACGGTGGTTTGAGTCCACATCTCGAGAGCCTTGCTGATATTAAAAACGTTCGTTTCACTTCATTCAATAAATCAATTCATTTATCATTATTCATGAAATGAATTTAGCAAGCAATTACAATATTATTACTGATTTTAAGTAATAATAACGCAAAAAATGAGAATAACAACGATTTTCATCATATCATAACACAACCATATGATCATTAAAATTCATTAGAAACAAGTAAAAGTAACATTCATAAATTAATCGAAAAAATTTCTATAAAATAAAGAAAATAAATTGAAATTGATAAAACTTCATTCATAAAATTAAGTAACCGTTCATGGATATATAGATTAACGACTGAGGCAATGATATACTCATGGTATAACTGAATCATTCCGCATTCATATCGTGAAGGAATAATAAATGACAACAGCAGATCACAGTGATAAATAACAGCAAATGCAGCAGTAACAATGCACTATAACAGTAGAGTATTTTGTGCAGATAAGAATGCCAATCGCAGAATGCTTTGCTGATACAATAGAACAAGATTTGGTATGGTCAGATCCGAAATTAGATATGAAAGGATTCGAACCGAATAAACTGCGGAATGTTAGTGTGGCGTTCGGTGAAGATATTGTCAATAAAACATGTAAAAAACTTGGTTTAGATCTTATTGTTCGAGCACATCAGGTACACTTTATTACTCTTACTATTATTATTGTTAGTAGACTCAACAAAACCAATGGCCTAGACAGGATTTTTACATGAGGGAACGGGCAAAAAATAGTCTGACTCAAAAAATAGCTGAATTTTGGGGTTGATTTTGTACTCCCCCTTCTCTATGCCACTGAATATAACTATTATTTTGTGAAATATTATTATCGTCACTACGAAGACGGTATTCATTCCGTGATTGACATTTGTATACAATTAATATGATAACGAACTGATTCTCGAAATTCCACAACAATAAATTTCCCAGGTAATGGAGAACGGCTATGGTTTTTTCGGCAGTCGAAAACTGGTCACCGTTTTTTCGGCACCGATGTACTCCGAACTTGTAAGTGGTTATTGAATCATTGGTGGGTTATTTGACACGATACATTAGGTGGCTGGGCTTGCTTCTGCGTTTTGCATAAGAAAATTTTGAAATGTTATAAATTACTTCAAACTCAATTTATTCATTAGAAATAAACACCGTTGGAATCCGCATACTTAAACCATCTAGATACCAGGTCACATATTCCTTCGTAGAGAAATTCCGGATTTTTGGACGCGATGAAAAACCGTAAAAGCGTACTTTCCAGCCAAATAATAATATAACTTTCAGAACAACAAAGGAGCGGTGATGCGCATAAGTGCTGATATGGTGATAAGCTTCGCAATACTCAATCCGGTCAATCCACAAACGGCCGGAAAGGAGAACTTCCAACGCTCGTTTAAAGACGATCAACGTTCCTACCGTATGACTGAGGAACAAATCGCTGGACAATATCAATAATTATCGTAACAATAATTAATAATAATTAATCATTATATACATATGTATCGCAATATTCATAACAATAGTGATAATAATTTACTGAAACTTTGTAAAGCAGATGGAATGTTTGTTTTGATCGTATAGGAACAATAATAAAAACATGAATAAATGAATAATTACAACATGAGATCGCGGACAATATTAAAGTATTAGAGTACTATTTGTAAGTTGATCATTCACGACACAACGTCGCACCGATAGCAGTCCAGTGAAACTCTCAAGGTAAGACAAGGATATTAACTATAAGATAATGATAAAACAAACAAATTGGTAATTCTTATAACAAAAACGTCAATAACTAGTAAAATCTAAATCAGTGGTTCTCAATCTTTCCCACTTCACCTTAAAAAAATTTTAAGATATCCTCGCACCCCTCCAGCAATATTAAAAATATCATCGCATCCATCACAACATCCACCCTTTATCTATCATCCACTACAGTGAGTGTCTGCATTGCAAATAAGTGTATACCACTGGAATACGTTCTAGCCTTTTCAAAAATATATACGTTGAAGTCCATCTTAGGCTCATTTTGTTCACATGTGTCCGTTGGAATCTACTCTTGCCTACTTTAATGTGTGAAGAATAAAACTTTGACTCGTACCCCTGTAATACCAGCTCTCACCTCTTCGGAAAGACGAGCTCTCCGGTTGAGAAACCCTCATCTAAACGAAATTAATGACATATGCAAGAAATGTGCCAGGACTAGTGATGACTCTTCCGGTTAAACTATTCTATTCCTGTTCTATTCCAAGGAATAAAATAGAACAGTTCGCAAGCGAGAAATGCACAGAACAGAATTGAATAGAGCCGTTTATGAGCCCAAAATAATAGGTATAGATAAATCCAGTGTTGGGCGCGCTATCGAAGAACGATAGCGCGCTATCGCTATTCCGCTATCTAAAAGACTTCCGCTAGTCCGCTACCGCTATCGCTATTACCCACCGAATCGATAGCGGAGCGCTATCGCTACCGCTATCGCTATCGCTATCGCCTACTTTAAAAACCTCATTACACCACTAAATGATTCAAAATTTTCATTAATCAACACGCATTTTTGAATTAAATGTGAGAAACATTACGAAAGTAGATTTTCACGAGAACATAAATTTTGTTTTATGACAATAGGACATATTTAAACATTAAAAAAATTTAAAACAATAGAACACAAACAACATTAAAACAACAACAGCATCATTAAAAAAGGCCACAACAAAACATCTTAACAGCAAAAACATTATCGAAAGTTTATCAGTCACTTTCGAAAACTATGTCAGTGAACCGAATGTCATATCAATAGGTTTGGTTAACAACATATTGTGAAAAAACGACAACAACAGAAACATACAAACTATATCAGCACACCGAATATTATATCAATAAATTTGGTCAACAGCATGTTATATAAAAACAACAATAACAGACACACATAAACTATATTAGCACATCGAATATTATATCAATAAATTTTGTCAACAGCACATTATGAAGAAACAACAGGAACATAACAAAAAACCGCAACAGTATTATCATCAAAAAATGTTCTTCGTAGGGTATTGTCACAAAAAGATCCCCTTTTTCCTGAAGTATCATCACCAAAAATCC